TCTAACTGAAGTTTTAAACTTCTGCCAGTTACTTCAGTACCTAAGTATTTTTCCCCTTCCCATCCCAAACAAATAGTAACTCCCTTCCACTTAAACAGCAGCAGTCAAGTCATATGTCTTTCATAAGAGCTTTAGTCCTTCATTTCAGGGTGAGAAGCTGCCTGATGGAAAGGCTTATTCATTGTCGGTGGTTTTGTGCTTTATTCTGTTTCCTTTTGAACAAGGTGGTTGTCTGGTGATGACCCAGCTCTCCAGCAAATTTGTTCCATGTGAAAAGCTTTTAACTGAGAATGCTTTATAGCAGTCTTCTGTGGGCTGTGTTTCTGGGTCATGCAACTGCACCATGCCTTGGCATTCCAGCAGGCTCAGTGTTTTGTACGCTGAATTCCATTATCTTTGTTCAGGATAGAACAGTTAGATACAGTTAGACCTTCATCAGGAGATTTTTAGAGTATGAGGATGGCAGGATTTAGACCTACCTCAATAGGTAACACTGGGTGGTAATAATGCACTCTTACAGCAACCTGTATTGTATTATACCCTTAAAATGGAAAATATGCTTTCATATCATTGAATCATTGCAGCCTTCTAACCTGTCTCACTTCCACAAAATCTTTACTCCCAGCAGTAAACGATGTCTGTTACCACTGTGCATTTTGATAACGAGGTAGACTTTTTATTTTTTTTAATTTTACTTTTTTTACAGGAAAAATTTTACTGAAAAGTTTTCATTCTCAGGAAAGGAACCAAACAGTTATGAGTTTATTTAACACATAAAATGATTTTGCCTACTTTCTTTCTTCCCTTTACTAGCTACTTTACTAAGTGAATAATGCAGTGAGATAGCATGTACTTAGACTTCACTGGTGAGAGAGTCATCAGAAATCTTGAGTCTTCTTTCCAGGACTCAGCTTGTGCTTTGAGCTCTAGGCTGCTCTGGTTCAGTCCCTCATGTGTCAATCCTTAGGCAGTTGTTGCTCATCAACTGCAGTAAAAAATGACATCAGTCACACTCCTAGCAATGGCGTGAGAGGCCAGACGAGCAATGTCATTGTGATAGAGTTACAATTATTATACATATCATCTTTTATATATTCTACCACTTCATCAGTTATTGCAGCCATAGCCAGAGAATGAGCAGAGGTTTTCGCTGAGCTGTCTGCAATAATGTAGTATCTTTTTCCTGAGTGATGACAGCTAATTTAAAATCCAACTTTGGCTAGTTAAGGTTATTCCTTCCAGTATGAATTACTGCAGTTTTGCTAGCATTGCATGTTTCCCAGGCCTGGTGTTCATACTGCTTTGCAGACTTCAGGATAACACCCTTTACTGTCTTCAAAGTATGCTTTAAATAATGTGATTCACATTTGTCGCATCAGATTGGTTCTTCTTTTATCTAGTTCAAGCCCTGAAGTTAGAAGAAATGAGAAAAGACAGTTGTATGTACTTTGTTGCAGAGCTTTCTGGTCCTGGTTTAAGTGAAGCACGTTCCTCACGTTGACCCAGGCCAGAAGGCTCTACCTGCTGTGCAGAGATTTACCATTCACAGCGGTCTCTCATACCTAAAGGGGATGAAGTAATTCATAATACTTTGTCTCAGAGTGTTAAGGACTGTTTTAAATTACACATTGAAGACTTTGACTCAGTGATTGTGGAAAGCTGGTGTAGTCACTTGAAGAGAAATGAAACTGTTGGTAGTGTACTGTGTTGCTAAGGACATGCTCTGCTATGCAGATTTAAGGAAATCTCAGTTGAGAATTAATCTTTAAATTGATCTTTGTAATAATACTATCTTCACACCCAGATCCCTGGGCACGAAGACCTGGTGCAGTCTTGAAGCAAATGTAGGATATTGAGAAGGTTTCTTGCAATCTACCATTTGAATCATAAGATGTCTCTTGGAGATGAATGTTGCTTCTTCTGTGCTATGTGTGTGTTGATATTTTATTAAACACTGAGACAACAATCTGTCAAACTAAGCTTTCAAACTGTGCAAAGAAGTAACCATATGGTTAGGAATTTGTTTGCTGCATTAAACTCCTCCACATCAATATAACCAAGAAAAGAAAAAATAATGAGGCCATCATTAGAACTAAACTGAAAACATAAAACAATTGCTGCCGTAAGCTTATAAAATTTCTGAGTTCTGCTGGAACTGAATGTTCATTTGTGAGATGAAGCCTTTGAAATAGTCTGAAGAGAGAGGAGAAAGGGGCACTGATGGAAGCCTCCTTGCCATGTACCCGAGTGAGGTTATGATTCACATTCAGACCCAACACACCCAGGTCATAGGTTAGAATATAATTTATGGTATCACAAATCAGGCTAACTGTATAAACACATCAGAGAATATTATTAAATTCCTGCATCAAGTAACTAACCTCAGATTTAGCTATCACCTTTCATTTAGAAAGATGGTGTGATCTGTTATAAATACTTAAAGTGATGAAGACTCTGCCACGTCTTGTCTTCTGCGCTGTGATTAGAAGAGGGACATCATAAAAATAAACCTAAAAAGGGGGAAAAAAGACGACTGTCAGCACTTAGAGCGGAGTTTGAGTATGGCCCATTTTAAATCAGAGTTAATTATGCAAAATCCATTGGAGTTATGCTAGTGTGAGCATCAGCAAAAGGATCACTACACCTTTTCCCCCTGATTTTTCTATTATAATTGTATCTAAGTTATAAAAAGAGGTCTCTTTGTGTCATTCTACAGCTAGTTGATATTACTTACTCTACAGAATGAATTAAAATGATGTATTTGGTTGTGCTGTTAAATTTAGGGAAATATGTTTTCTTCTATGATACATCCAGGTTATCTGAGAATGTGTTCTGACAGTTTATTTTAGCAAAGGAATAATTGAATTCCCTCAGAGACTGTTAGCCTGGGAATTGTATCAGCCGTACTAAATCAATTGAATTATTGAGGTTGTGCATTGCATTAGCAATGCTTGTACAGTATAAATCTTCCAAGGGAAATTATATTTCTTTTCAGCTTAATATTCCAAATTTAAGTTTATCTCATGATAGTTAAATAACCTTCTGTGCTTAAACACCTGCACTCAGTCAAGCAATTTTAAACCTGAGGTTTAATTTTAAACCTGGTACTGATACTTCACAGTCTGATACTGTAGTGTGTCAACACAGGTAGTAGTGACCATCTTCCATGTCTAAAGCTGCAGAAATCACCCAGCAGTCTGCACAAACGACCCCAGAAAAAGAAGAGTGAACTGGAACAAAGCTGTTTGCAAAATGGCAATTCTGATGTGATGCGTTGCTCTTCCTTATTGCTGGCTTAAAATACAGCAACTGGTTTTCAGAAGTGAACCAAGTTAACACTGATGAAGTAAAATCAGAGATTCTTTAACCTAAGTTTATCACACTTCTGTACTTGATAGTGTGAATGGCAAAATAGCCCCCAGACACAGATTATGTTCTTTAGTAAAAATACCTCTGAAGGCTTCGACATTCAGTCAATGCAAAAGAGTAAAACAAGTCATCCCTGTAGTAACAGTGTTAAATTTCTAAATTAATAGAAGGAGGATTTACAATTCAATGCTGTGAGAGCATATTTACATGCCGAAGGCAGTGGGGCAATACTCAATAGTAATTTCTTAGAGGTACACACAACGTCCTTTTAACCTTCCCCAGATAAACAAGTTATGACACATTCTACATGGACCAAAATTTGCTTATTTTTAATTCCAGGAGAACTTCTACTGAAGTCAGACTTAGCTTAACTTTAATTTAAACTTAGTTTAACTTAGCTCTAAGCTTTAGACTTATTTTGTCTCCTGGCTTTTGTTCGTAGTGGAAGTGGCATTGACCTTAAGCCAATTAAACCATCTGTCTATCACACAAGAGTGTGGGGTCAAAAAGGAGGACAGAGATGCCAAGATTTGGCTTTCAGTTCTGTAGGGATTTTGAAGAAGGAGGAGTGCTGGGAGAATGCGCAAGAGCCAGCTTTGGGCTGTTGAACTCTGTTGGCCAAGCTACCAAAATTGAGTCCTGCATTTATTCTGTGATCCAAGAATTTTGGGTTTCTTTTCTGACAGTCATTTGAGCTTAACTTGACCCTTGTCTGTGTTAGACATTGATGTTCCAACATAGACAAACCCTTGCTCCTTTTAGCAGGTAGATGCTCCTCTTGAAAAACACATGCAGGTCAGTGGTGAAACAGGTTAAATTAATGGGGTTATAAGGTAATTGGAAATTTAAATTTATGAAAATTGGTGAGTTACTAAACTGTTCTGAGCAAATTTAGGGCTCTGTCCTATTCTTATTCCAATCAATGAAAATGGTGGTATTAAATTGCAAGGATTAATCTCAGAAAAAATGGCAAAGCTCCTGGCTTGTCCACGTGATGGATTTGGTGCACAGTACCCAAAAGTGGCAGCTCTGAACTTACAGTCCTATAGGCACACCACACACTTTCCTCATGGAAACTGTTTAGTACTCATTACCTGAAAGCCACTTTCAAAGCAGATGCAAACATTCCTTGAACAACATGGTTCTTGCTGTGCGTTAACAGTATACATTCAGTGGGATCATGAACATACAGTGAAATGCAAATACATGCTCAAGGTTATGACCTCCCAGCTGCCTTCTGCAGGTGAGTCCTAAGCTACCTTGCACTTGGTGCACGGTATGGTTGTCCACAGCAAAAATGTGTTTGCTGTATAGTATTGTTTCCATTCTGTAAATTCAGAGACTTAACTATTGCACGTTAAGTTTTTTGGTGTAGGCAAGACCATAATTACATTTAAAATCATGAATTGTCTGTAATAAAAAATAAGCATTGTGGTTGTAGGAGATTGTTGAGCTAATTGGCATTAGATGATTTATTCTAATTAGTCATATTCTAGAGCATAAAAGAAAAACTACTCATAGTGAAGCTACTAAATTGATCACTATACTTAATCATCTGTACCTTTTTTCCCAAACAGGCAGGAGAAAAACATTATCACCCAACGTGCGCACGATGTGTCAGGTGCAGTCAGATGTTTGCAGAAGGAGAAGAAATGTATCTTCAAGGTAAATACAAACTGACCAACCCCCAAAACCAAACCAGTCACACTTGGCAGCATGGCCCTTCTGCCCATACCTGCTAGCATGGCTGAGCTGTTTTGCACATATTCTCATTTCATAACTACCAAAGAAAGTGAAGAGCGCAACGTGTAGGCTAAAGAAAAGCAAACCCAAACGCTTGTTGCTTCTTGCTCACTATTACTTCTGTCTCTGTTCAAATCCAATACAAAGTGTGAATCACAGAAAGGATGAGTGGTAGCAGTTATCTCCTGCAGATGGAAGTACTTGACAGTGAAGAATATAAAAGGTTCCATTTACTAAAAAAAACCGTGGATTTTTGTGCGGTGATAAATGGTCCAGATGAAAGTTAACACACATATGGGACAGCAGGTTCCTTAAAGCAGCCCTAAGTCCAGTTCCGTACCCATTGCCCATTTGGGAACAAGAAGAAAATCTGAAGGTCCTTAACCTGAACTGCCCTCAGTCAGGCGTAGCTGTCCTCAGACGGTGAAGAGGAGGATGCCATGGAGCTGAAGCCCTTACCAGACAATATGCCTATACTCTATGTAGCCATAAGCTTGCATCGCTTAGGAGAAAGCTATGCAGGGAGAAATTCAGTCTTTCTTGTCAGGGAATTTCAGTAGTAATAGAGAACAACTTGCACAATAATTTATTCAATGGAAGAAGAAAAAAGTTATTTAACATAGATGTGAGCCAAAATCTGTGTTTCATATGTAGCAACTTTTAGCTGTACTAAACTCATCAAAGAAAACAATGTCTACACAGTTAAATACAGGGTTAGGCACCAGAGAAAATGAAGGCTTTTGCCTATGTCTTTGACTGGCAATATCTTTTCAAAGGAAAACAGAAAAGAGGAACTCAGTAGGATGTGGGAACTGCAAGGCTGGTGTATTATCCTAAAATCACATGCTTTCCCAGATCTGTATTACAACTTTGCAATTGTCCACAGTTTTCTAGAAGTGTCCTTTGAAATCATTCATTAAGCTGGCAAAGTTAGACTTTATTTAAAACACAACAGTGGTCTCAGTACGATCTAATTATAATTTAGTATGTTATTTAAAATGACAATTTTATTGTCACTTTGGTTTACAACAAGAACTAGCTCATTAAAGGACATAATGATCCTTGTCTGTGCTCATGGATTCTCCCTCAGGAGCCAGAAAATGCTGTGGTTCTTCCAATTGCAAAGTAGCTTAGCGGTACTAAAATCCCCTGGGAAATCAATGCTTTTAAAAAATATCAAACTACAAATTTGCTTCTAGATTTCAAACTCTCTGAAACGGGGTTGCAGTGAATCTTCTTTTTCAGTTCAGTTTGTTATAAGGGTGAATATTTTCTAGGTTTTGTGCTGATTTTAGATTCAAGTAATCACAAAGTATGTTCAGATCCTGTTAATTTGGACCCATCTTATTCACTTTATTTTCTGATGCATGAAACATTCATACCAGCTTACAATCATACACTTTTTGTCTTCACATGAAGAGCAGTTTCCATTAGAAACTGGTGTTAACTTCATGAAAGATTTGTGATTAGGTATTTGGACTGCCTGACCTGATGTGTTAGATAATAAAAAATGTCAAAGCCCAGGGTTTTATAACTTGTTCTTCATAAAATACTTAATAAACTGCTGTAAAGTTCCTTTAGGTGTTGCATGTTCCTTAGCAGGAATTGAGTCATTGGTGGTCATCCAGCAGATGACTTTTGGGTGAAAGGACTCTTTTTCTTCCGTGTAAAAGAGCTTCCTAGCCAGTTTTGCTTGACTACAGATAGGAATAATTAAAAAGTTGATCTAAATATTTCTTAAAACCATTGGGAATATTTACATCAACTTCTGCAGTAGTTGGGACAAATGCTTTCAGTGGGCAAGCTCAGACCCACTCATAATTGGAAGATAAATTAACATTGAATTTAAAGGTGTTATAAAGATGTTTTTTAGTGGTTCAATCCCAAAACAATTCTGTAACTTAGTAAACATAATTTATCCAGTCTGTACTTATAGATAGTCTTCTACTGCTTGAGTCAGGGTTCATCTGGGTTATTTTTGTGAAATAAATTCTAATGATCTCCATCTGTCTTCTGGGAAATAGACTTGCTGTTTCTATCCTGTTTCCAAAATCCACTGGTTAGAAAACTGTCAAACTGCTGTGAAAACAAAGCATTTCCAATAAATCTTCTTGGTGCTCTCCACCCAGTATAAACATTACATATTTATAACGTAAAAGTTCTCAACTTCCCATTTAGTCAGGCAGAAGTTGCAATGCACTCACATTATTTAATTGTGCGGAGCTTTAGTTTGTGGCTTGTCCGAGCTCAGACTGGCATAAATGTAAAGGTTCCTTTTTTACTATTAAAATTTACAAATATTTTTCTTATTTTTACAGTTACACACATTCCACTTCCATTGAACACTGAATATTAAACATTGTGTTCGACTTTTTAAAAGTGGGGTTTTTTTTCTTTGTGACTGATGCAAAACTATTAAGTTTCATTCTCACACTTATGTTTACTTTTATCTCTGGAGTTCATCATCCTCTCTTCAATACTTACATGCAGTAGAGAATTGGTTCATTCTGTATTTCCTGCTTCCTCTAGGACGGGTATTCCTCTGAATTTATGCAGTTCCTTAGTATTTGACTTACGAGAGACAAACATATAGGAAGTGCAAGATCAGTACAGTGAATAATTCAGAAAGATAGACTGGATTTTCAGCTAGTGTTAAATGCCACAATGCTGTTCCTTCCCATCACAGTGTGCTACGTAGTATGACCTGAGCCAGACTATTGCAAGAACATGTGAAATAAGAGTACAGGAAATTCTGACTACATATAAGGAAAAAAAAAAAAAAAATCAGTACAATGAGAGTGGAAGAGGTTGCCCAGAGCCGCTGTGGGATCTCCATCTTCAGAGGTATGCAGAGCCCTGAACTGCCTGCTGTAGTGGGACCTGCCCTGAGCAGGAGGTTGGGCTGGAGGAGCTCTAAAAATCCCATCTCACACTTCTTAGGACTCAGGTTTTGATGTTAATCTCACGTATTGAAGTACACATAGCTTTCTGAAGTGTGCCTAGTCTTTAAAATGTATGCGATCAGGCTTACTGATAGAGAAGTTGTCAGTTTTCACTTTGAAAGTATCCATGAACTAGGGACTGCAGTGGAATCAGTCAGTATGCAGTGTCTTATGAAACCTTCTAGGAACGTTTAATAAGGTTCTTATTTTAAACCTTTTAAGGTTCTTATTGGGGAATTGAATTAAGCAGAACTTTAAATTTACTTTCCAGGTACATCCATTTGGCATCCAGTTTGTAGACAGGCTGCAAAGGCTGAAGAAAAAAACAAGGTAATAAGACCGTATTTTTACTCAGTGTTATTCCATTGTCCTATTATTCCGTATCCCTTTTTTTACAGTGGGCATGGAGGGAAGGATTTGGAATTTTTTCACTACTGTAATTTTAAATTTTAAATTACAGAAATCTAGTAGGTTAATGTAATGTAATAATGTAATATAAACATCCTGCTTTTACTTAGTGATTAAAGCTACAGCTTTAGGAGAATGCTGACCTAAGAGTTATATATAAGCTGAATAAGGAAAAATGTGAAAATACGAATATGAAAAAAATGTTAATTTTTAACTTCTGTCTGATTATGATGTGATCAGTGCACGACCTCTTCTCTTTTTATGTGGCTCTGCACTTAAAAGATCAGAGGACTTTCACTGTATTTGTTTTTACAAAAAATCTCTCCTTGGAATTTCTTTTTTATTATTTGTTTGCAAAATGTTGGCAAGCCAGCCTCAACTTAATTTAATCTCTGGCTTTAAGTACCTTCTTAAGTTGGATGATTTGTGCATCTGTCTGTGTGCAAGGGGAAAAGGGGGGGAGTTCTGGCAACTTTAATAATTACAAGGTTAGCAGATGAATAAGCTGCCCCTAGGAAATGAAGAATTAATCTGTGGCTGGGGAAATGATCTCTCTGAAGTGGTGGGACTGAGATGCAACTATCTCATTTAATGCGGAGGGCAAGTATGGGGTTTTTAAGTTGTAATGTTCTCTGATGCTCCAAGTTGTATCCCTGGTATTCTTTTTCAAAAAACCTTGCTTTGATTCATCAAGGCTTGGACGCAAGGCGCATGGGACAAGTCAGAACAGCAGGCAGCAGCTATAAAAAGAGTGTTTACAAATCTGGTGCGTTCACAAGTGCAACTTTGACTAAACCACAGTTTTGAAAAAATCTTGTTTTGAGCTTTGCCCTGAAGATCTTAGCTGTATTTTTTGTACTGGTGTGTTTGGGAAGCAATTGCTCTGGTATTCTTTATGGCAAGCTCTGAATATCAAATAAGTAGCATTTCAGTATGAAATATATTGTTTAATATGTATGTATTTAAATTGTCAAAATAGTTTAATAAGTGCTGCTGATTCAGCGTAATACTATTAAGCAGTATTTCAGGCTTCCTACGGATTTTGTTCTGGCTGAGTAACTGAGATTGCAAGGCTAAACCCCATGTAATTTATTGAAAATGTAGTTGGGTTTGGGGTTTTTTTTTCCTTCTTCAAAGAGAAGACAGTGAACAAGGTTGTACTGGGTTCCTGCTGGCTGCCTTTTCCTCACAAAGGCAAATGAAGTGTGTGTGTAAGCTATTGTGTAAAGGCTAACTCATCTGTCACACATCTCTCCGAGCGCTGGGAGTCTGACCCTTCCCCAACAGAGAGGAAGACTTCTGTAACTGACAGGCAGTGCGAGTTATGCCTGAGTAGGGAAAAAAACCAGAACGGAGCTCAAAGACTTTTTTGAAGTCTATAGTCATTTTTCCCTTTCTTTGGCTTCTTTGGTCTTTACGCTCATTATTGAAAAAATAAACCAAGAAGAAAGGATGCTGTTTCAGAGAGGGTAGTAATGGACTTTTCAACATAACTTGTAAAGTTGGGAATGGGATATACTGGTTGAGAAATTTTCTGGTCAACCTTTGTTGGTTTTAAGAGTTATCTTTCTGTATGTTTATATAGATATATGCACAGCATGTAATTAAAGTAGGTGACAAAGGCAGAAGGAGTAAGTGGCAGCGCTCTCCAAAACTTTGGAGACGGAATGGAAGGAAAAAAGTTATGAGAGTGACAGCAAAAAGGAAAATGATGGGAGAGTGAGATTGTAAGCAGAAGGGATGAAGCTGGAAAAGACAGAAGAAATCAAAGTAGCAAGAGAAAGAATAAAGATTATCAAAAGGCATAAATGAAAAAGAGGTAGGTGGAGGGGGAATAAAAATGCGTAGTACAGAGAAAAGAACTGAACAGAAGCAATGGAGTCAACTGAGATGTGAGGTTTTATTGCAATAGCTAGATGATGTGCAGCAGGCATGGGCTGGGGATGCTAAAAGGGGTAATGGATCATGCAGAGAATAAAGAGCATGTGTGAGATGTGGAATGAGCAGGGTTTAATCACCAGGAGGAGAAATGGGACAATTTGTGGGAGTGGCTGAATAGCATAAGGAAGCACGGAACCAATCTGCAGAAGTACCTTAGAAAGATGAGACGACACTTTGATTGCAAAAGTTAGAAATTTTAATGAATTGTAGTTCTTAAAAACAAGATGCCTCTAAATTGAGGAAAGCCACTGAAAGAATACCAGGAATTTATTAAGGGTTATTAAATACATTCAGCCAGGTATATTATGTATTTTAAGATCATGCTACACTGTGTGATCTTAAAACACACTCCACTGATGCACATGACATAGAAAGAACCTCTGAAGCTTTATCTAGGAGTTCTGAGGTTAATCCAAAACTGTCATTTGACTTTAACAGGGTTTAAAACATTAAAACAGTGCAATTTTCTTCAGAGTTTTTTTCTCTCTGTCACATTGGACCTCCTGTAGAGGCATCCTGAAGAAGAAGTATGGTTTGCACGTCACATCACTGCATTGATGACACTTTCATGTCATTTCACAAGTTCTGGAAAATTGCCATGTGCTTTCAGCGTGCAGAAGAGGAATACGCTTACGCTGTCCATGTTGAATGATCATCTCAATGGCAGCCACAAGTATTTCTCAGAGAATACTCTATTTCAGTGCTGGTGTTTGGCTTGTCCCCTCAGACCCTCTGAGCTTGTCCAGAGCCTCAGTGTGAGACAACTGAAAATGAGACAAAGAAAATTCCAAAATCTCGGTCAGACATGCCAAAACAATTAAACTGGATCTTTTTTATATGGATAAGTATCTCCACATACAGTCTTAGGGAAATCCATAGGACTATTTGGGCTAAAGAAGGTCAGTGGAAGGATAGTTGTGATCATTGCATTTGATTGCTCTGCTGACACAGTATAATACAGATATATTCACATATTGCTTCTAACAGGTAGCAGATACTTCAAGTGAAGACTGGAATAGTAGAAAGGATGCCACCTTGATGTGCCAGCTTAATAATGCTAAAATCCTTTTAAGGGTTTGAGCAATTGTAACCTCCAAGTGAGAAGTGTCAGCCTTTGTGAGACAGTAAATGATGGTCATTCTGAGCGCATGGAAAAATAAGTGCTTTTTGCAATCAGGGACAGTTTTTTCCATAGATGGGAAGAAATATTTTATGTTTAATTAACATATCTGGATAAAAGAGGGTATAAAACCATGGATTTCATAGTAAGATTTGTTTAAACTTCAATTATGAATGTCAGGTCTGTTTGCTTATGGTTAATATCATTGTGTCTCACAACCCTTTGTTATTTGAAAGTAATTATATTTTTCATCATAGAGGAATCTACCAAAAAGAAAGCAATAAAGGTCTGTCACTCTGAATGCCAGAATGATTGAAAACAGAGCAAAACCAGTTGAATATTAAAATTAATCTGGTAGTAGTACAATCAGAGAGGGGAGAGCTAACCTATTGGGTGTCTGATTCAGGATGCTCTGCAGCATGTCGTGCCATTTGCTATGAGTGAATGACACGGTAGCATGTTCCAGAATCAATGTAGATTGGTTTGATGGTATAACCTTAGAGACAAATATTGCCACCATATCATCTCATGACCCCAGACTGAGAGCTGCAGTAACTTGACCTGTCCCTGGTAGTGCCAGAAAGTGGTCCTGGCAGCCCAGAAGTGCTCCGGGCTGTTTCATTCTGAAGGGAGGGGAAAAGAAAGTCATATGTAAAATAATTTTTGCATTTCCAAAGGTCAATTTGATTGACTAAAGGTGTTCTTTTATTTTCAGGTCTTTGGTATGCCTGTATGTTTTGAGCTTGCTGTAATATGCCATTTTTGAGTGGTAAAGGTTAAATTAAATTAAATGTCTTGCACAGACTTTTTGAAGTAACAGTTACATTTTCTCTCCCTCTTCTCTATTTCTTACCTGTTTTCACTTCTCCTACCATAGGAAACAAGGACTTCATCTGAGAGTATTATTTCTGTACCTGCTTCAAGTACATCAGGTTCCCCAAGCCGAGTGATCTATGTGAGTATTTCGTGGTGCAATTTGTTCCGGGGATGGGGAAGACCTTGTGCTTCCTCCTACAGTGTAGCACGTTCTGTGGAAAGCTAGTGTCTCCAAACCACTGCTGTTGGCGATTCCTCTAAAACGGGATTTACTTTCTCACGTTTAAAATGTTTGAGTACTGTATTTACCATAACAGAATTCTGGCAGTTTCCTGTTATTTTTTGTGGTGTATTTATAGCACTTAACATTACCACTAGAGCTGGCTTATACCAAAGCATGCAAAATACCACAGTGCTTTCTAAAAAAGAAAAGTTTAAGTAAACAGTGTAGATTACAAGCTTAGATTTGAACACAACTTGTCTAAATTGAGCTCTTGAGCCTGCATCTGATTGCTTATGGAAACACTCATGCGTGAGATTGCAGGACTCGGGCTGTGGTGAATACCAGTCCCTAACCTCAGAGGACCTTTGATGTGTTTATGGTCTAAGAAGTGCTAGCTCTGGAAAACTGATAGAGAGACTTTAAAATAACAAGTATGATAAAAGCTTATGCTGGGTATTTTTTTCAATACCGGGTTATAATACCTTGCTTGTCATAATTGCTGTAGCTAATGTTCATGGCCAAATTCTCAAGGCTACCACCAATAGGTAAAAAAGTGTGGCATGTTCCATACACACATCTCTTGGAGAGCTTCAGTATTCCCAAGGCTATTCTTTGTCCTGTCCAGGTATCCCTCAGGTAGGCAGGTCCTTCTCATCGGATAAGACCAGATGCAGAGGAAATTGCTGGAGATGCAATTGACTGCCGGGGAGATGGTTATACAAAGATTAAGGGCTTTTATCTGCTACATTGAGATGAGCAAAAGAGTGCCTTGGAGCTAAACTCGTCTTTTTTCTTCAAGGAAAAATTCATTTTGAATGCAATATACCCTTTATCTGAGTAAGATTGGACTAGAAGTCTGCCCCTTATGTAAATGCTCATCGGTGTTTCTGAGTTCTTCCAGTAGAGCTCCATGCTGGTGGGTACCAGTGGTATATTCCTAGTAAAAAAAATGTCGTTGCCTCAACTCCTGTGAAGACAGTTCATTGTGCTAGCAACCTGTTGTCATGTAAGCACTTTCTTTGGCCACATAGTCTCTATCTCCCCAGACATGCACCACTTTGTTGTTTTTATAAGCATGAGCATTTTTCTAAGATTTATATGTTTTTAGTGACATTTATCTAACTGTTGGATGATACCGTTTTTCTTGATGTTTGTGATTACAGCTTTAAATATGGTTCACAGGCTGTTAAAAGTCAAGGACAAACTTCCATTCTCTTTTTCTGTTTTTTTTTCAAAAGATATCAAATCAGTACACAAGTCTAATGTTTGTTACTGTAATATACTTTAGAGGCAGCTGGGACTGTGAAAGAATAAAGTTCTCTAGCAAGTATGAGTCAATTAGGAAAAAAGATTCCCCAGAGGCATGCAAGTTCTTGCTATATCTGTCTCATCTCTGACTGCTTAATTGTCAAAGCTGTGAGGTTGATTAAATCCTATTTTGGCTTTCACGAACAGGAAAGTAAAAAGAATTAAAAACATGTTGCTGGACTTCTATATTACCAAAATGATTCTTTGGCTATCTTTTGCATCTGTTTTCTATTATGGGAATGTTATGACATCCAGACATGCTCAAGATTTTTCTTGGGTGCTTTTGTGACTGGTTTTACCAAATGTAAATTCATGCTGCCACTGAAATGAAGGTCCCACCCACATGTGGCCCTGTCCCTCTCCAGCCATGTCTTCCTGTCTCCTCTTTGGTGCTAGTGCTAGTGGATACAGAGGTATGATCAGTCAGATCTGAGACCAAATTCAGCTAAAAAAATAACCCCGGGAAAACCTCCAGCCAACCAAAGAGGAAAAAGGAAGACCCAGCCATCTACATGTCTCTAACACTAACGTAGAAGGCAGAGCAGAGTGGGACGGCACACACAGGACAGTAGCAGTAGCATGGATTCAGATCATTAAAACCAATAGTGAAATTGTACCTTAACAACTGGTGAGGTCTGTGAAGTATTGTGTTGGACAAAAGAGAATTTAGAGCAAATGGTTAAAGCTTTGAAACAGTGAATTTGTGGTGCTCATACTTTCAAAGGCATCAGTCAGAGCAACACAATCATTCTGAGCAACACGCCATCTCACGGGAGATATGTTCCTGGGTCGTGGTTGAGTGGACAGCTAGGGAAAGATGAAGAAAGTATGTTTTGACTAAACCTGAATGTGGTTCATGCAGACCCTTTACTAAAGCCGTACTTCTTTTTTTCCTCTGTTGATACCAGACTTTGGTGTCTTCTTGCACTGAGAGAGGCCATAGACCAATGCCTTTTGAAGTTAATGGGCATCTTTTCTTAACTTTAGTGATGGCTGGATTATATCTAGACTGAAATTTACCCAGTGCAGACATCCCCTCAGAGTCCTTAAATACCACTTAAAAATCGGTCCATTTCTAAATTAATGCCATTAAATAGGGCTTAAATAAAAGCCTTTCTTTATACTTAGCTAATTTTTATGAAGAGGGAATTAGGAGCTCTCTGCAAAGATGTATCTATCTGGAAGGTTTACGTTAGGTTACATAGCTGTGTTGTACGTTCTCATACTAGGAATAGAAATCACATTATATTTTTATACAAGATTGTATTTGCAATTATACAATTGTAAAATTGCATATTCCAAATGAAATAGATACTCTAAACTCAGAGCATGGTTTTAACAGAATCCAAAATACCAGATTATTGAAGAAGTGGCTTAAAGTCTCTTAGCTGTAATTTGAGCTTCCCCTAGCATATTTGAATTCCATTCATGTATTTGATAGTAGGTGAAACAAATAAAATAAAACCCAATGTAGGCTGAATGTTTGTAGAATTGAATGTTTGGAAAGCAACTGTATCTCTAAGGCATTTTTTCATCCAAATTTGCCTACATTTTGATATTTAAACTGAAAAGAATTACGTAACTAGATAAGTTTTACTCCTGACAGTTCTGAAGTCTAGTGGGAGGTTCTCAAGTTGCACTTCTACATGGAGAGCTAGGGGCTAAAATTATCATTAGTTCACATTTAAATATTCCCAATTCTGAACTTTTTGGGTTCACTTGAATAATCTCCACAACCCTGGATACCTCAAAAAAGAAATTATCATATGCTCCTTGGTCTTCCTTCTAGGTACAATGCTGCCCAAAGTCTTCCTGGAACAGACCTGGTGGACAGACTCCTTATTTTTGCATGACCTGTCCCTGCATCAGACCTTGCCACTGGCTTCTCAGTAGGAAGGGATTTATTTTGATTAAGGGGCTATTTCATTGCTCTGTAGCTTCTTAAAGTAGCTGCAAGGAAGGTGAGATCTGTAGATAGCTGAAGAATCACATATTTGATTAAAACACATTTTTTCATTAGTTTTGAGGATGAGAATATGTGATGGTTATGATGGCTTTGTTCCATTTTCTTAGTTAAGAGGAATCTTTCTCCTTCCTGTGTTGCTTTCACTTGCACAAATTCATACATTGTTTTAGAAGAAGGAATAACTGAAAGTTGTCACACTAAATTTTCCTAATAGAAAACTTCCCTGGAAAATCCGTTGAACTTTTCTTAGCTCATACTAAGAAAAAATATAATCACTGCACACATAAATCCTGGATACTTTCATATTTTTGCATGTGGAAAACATTACTACAGTTTTACAGCTGATCATACTGAGATTTTCAGAGAATAGCAAAATCCACTCATCATTTTGTTGCCAAGAAGGAGCTTATCATTCTGCAAAGCCTGAACTGGGAATGAGACAATTACACTGCCCGTTTCTCCAGCCTCAGTGTGGCCAGCTTGTGGTTCTATCTACAAGACAGTATGTACTGGGTACAGTTTTGGTGCAAGTTACCATTATCCTAAGGATAATCTGTGCAAATGTGGCATTTTGGTAATTATACTTTTGCAATAAGCGTAGTAAGAGGAGAACAGGGAGCAACACAGCCCTTTCCCTCTGTTGGCTGTGTGTCTCATGAAAGGGTTTGAACTTTCCTTAAGTGGCATCTGTGATCTTCCAGCTAATCCACCATGGTGCAAATCCATCATCTGCTGGTTTGTGACCAGTAATTAAGGGCGACTTCAACATAGTCAGGAAAGGAGGTGAAGCTGTGGGACACGGCTGAGTGGGAAAAATTAAAGACCTGACCAATGTTTTTCAGCATCTGGAGAGTATATGTTGGAAATACATACTTGATTATTCACTACTGCTTATGGCAGGGGAACCCTGCACACCGAAACTACTTTAAAATGAAGGGTGTTTTGCCTGAAAAAGACTACAGTGTGTGTCCCCCGTGTCTCTCTCTGCAGCTAGCCGTAAGTGGGATATAACCAAGGGGACTGGAATGATGCCATGCTAGTCCTATTAGCCAAATGTGAGTGACAAAGAAAAGTAGAAAGCACCAGTATGTAAAAAAGAAAACAGCAGTAATATTTAGGATTGTGTAGTAAATATGAGATTTAAATGTGCACAAACAGAAAAAGTGCTTTATTATGATGACTTTTCTACCTACACTTCTCTGTCCTTTTCTGATTGCATCCTGATCATATTCTTTCTTATTCTCACTGCCTTCTTTCCTCCTTTTCTTAGGCAAAGCTTGGAGATGAAATTCTTGACTACAGGGATTTGGCTGCTCTTCCTAAAAATAAAGCCATCTATAACATTGACCGCCCAGATATGATCTCCTATTCTCCATATATCAGTTACTCTTCAGATGACAGGCATAGTTACGGGGAGGTACTGAAATATGGGTATTTTTTTTTACTTTGAATTTGAGATTTTATGTGCATCATTAAACATGTTGCTGAACACTCTTAAACACATGTATAATTTTTAAAAAAACCCACACACTAACTTTTATAATTTCAGTTAATTAAGTCATGTCATCCATTCATTCACAAGGCATTTTAGCCTTCCAAAAAACAAGCAAGATGTTCATTTCACTTTTTAGTTTGTGGAAATTAAAGAATTGCTTTCTGTGATCATTTTTTAAACAGATGACATGTAATTAAAATACATTTTCTGTGAGAGGAATTCTACATGCATGCGGTAGGAAACAGGAGCCATTACTAATGATAATGCAAAAATCAGAAGCGAAGCCAAATGTCTTTCATGTTTTGTTTTTTTTTTTAAAGTGTACCATGGTATTTTGGTAACACAACAATATTATCACTTTCCTATGTACAAATTTCTTTCAACTGTCCCTTACTAAAGTTCATCCTCATGTGACGCATGCATTTCAAACTATTCATATGCAGAGCTAATATTACACAGTTTGTGCTAATGAAATCTAATTTAACATACTCTTACTAATACTAATTCTGTTTTTTTGTGAAGCATATTTGTATATAACACCTGTCATGCAAGTTAGCTTTTCTTCCATAACTGTATCTACCTTTTGTTTGAATTTCTGATTTCTTTTAGAATTTTAGATACTTTTTTACAAATCAATCCTCTTATATATACTAGGTATATCATCAAGATATATATGGTCTAGAATGGAAGTCTTGTTCTCTATAGGTGTAAGTGAATGGGTAGAAATAAATACTATAAATAATAGCCATAGTGTTTATAATAGCCCCAGTCTTGCTATCACACCTTTTACACTTAATCTACTACTGAAGTCTCAGTAGTGCTGTCAGGTCGAGTGCAGCACATATATTAGATCTTGCAGACTCTCTTCCAAACCCTCTCTGTACACAGTAGCTCTATTATAGTGCATGCTATAAGAATTAAGATTGTATCTGGAAAAAGGGTTTAAATGGTATTTAGGTTTCTGAATTGACAAAACTGAAAGCTGCTTGCTAGCCCTGAACTTACGGAGTATAGACGTTTCCTTTCTACGTCAAAATTTGTGGGTGCTGAGAATGTTTGCAGCCCCCCTCAACTGCCTGTTAACATCTAGACTTAGCAGAGGTGACATCTAGACTTGGCAGAGGTACGTAGACTGAACAACCTTCCGCCCGGTTCCTGTGAGGACTTACTCATTGCACCCACTCCGAGGTGACAGTTATAAAACCATCATACCCAGCATAAATCTGCGCTGCTGCAGGAGGGAGTTTCCCCCTGCCTGTCCTCAGCATCTCCTTGGCCACTTGCTGCTGCTCCTCTCCTTTGCCAGAGCAAGTGTCCGTGTGGCTGTGCTGGGGCTGAGGTTTCTTCTGGACCCCTGGCGTGATCTGACCCCGTGCCATCACTTGAAGGCTGGAGATCCCACAGACAGGACAACTGTCCAGTGGTGCCCTGAAACTGCCCATCTTGGTGGCAGCCCTCTGGCCTTTGCTGGGACCCAGTAGCTGTCACCTCTGGGAACATCAGCATTGTAATTTTCAGCAGTGGCTTAGAAGGTAGTTGCAGTTGAGCTCTAAAAAAAAAACTAACCAAAGAAAAGAAACCAAACCCAAACCACAGCAAAGAAGGTATTGCTGCTGTCACCTTCTTTTAGTGGGTAGCTCAGTGGTTAGCCTGCGACAGGAGGGGTTTATTGGGACAACTGCAGTCATTGCCATTTTCGGAAACTATGTACTTTAACAGGAGATAAAAGGGACCACATCATGAAAGAGGACTTTTTACCTTGGGGCTGGAGGAAACACCTTGGTTCACCCAGAAGCAGCCGCCCAGAAACTGCCTGGAAAACCTCTATTTGCTTGCTTGCTTCCAAAAACCCATGTGGGCCCAGGAATGGGCGTCTCCTGCAGCTGCAGTTGCTGGCACGCGGATATATTTAAGTAAGCTGTAAGCTAGGTGTAGTACGTAACAATTACCATTACGACACCAGCCTTAACACGGACCAGCCAGTTTTCTGCCTTTGCAGATGGGTGTCTCTTACAGCGGGCGCTGAGTTTCAGACCACGTCTGCTCTTTCCCCAGTGTTTGCACCACGAGCTTAATGCTGTCTCAGGCAGGGCTGTGCTGATGTAGGCATTCGTGACAGCGAGAACTCAGGGACGTCTTAAAAAAGAAAAAAACAGGACTAATGGCAATGGCTTCCAATCCAACATGCACATTTTCATGGCACTCCAAATATTTATGTGCTTGATATTGCCGGGGGGAAAAAAAAAATCCTGTCTTCCAAATTTCAGCATCCTGGCTACTACCTGCAGCTGCAATAGTTCGAGTCGATTTGTTCAATTAACCAAACGTAGTGTTTAATTTTGAAAGGAAAATGAGTGAACAACAAACTGTCAAATTACATGATGTTAAATTAAAAATTAAATAGTACAGATATTTTTCTTTCCCTTAAAACAGCCGGCTCTGAGCAACAAAGTTCTGTTCCAGATTTTGGAGTTGCTTCAGTGCAGCTTTAACTAGGGCTTGTGTCTAGTTTCAGGCAGTTGCTTTAAATGGGAGTTTCCCTACTAGCAGCACTCTCTGCAGTATGGGACTGGCCTCACCAGACTCCAGGATTTTGTAGTGAAGAAATCAACAAAAGCTTTGTATGGAATTATTTATATCTTATTCCATATGTATTTATTTTAAATAAAAAGAAAAATTGCCCTAACTTAATTGACAGGTGTTTTTCCTAACTGTATCATGTGTTATACATGGATATTGATAATTTAAGAGTAGTTCTTCTCACAAGTAACATCATGCATGAACTTGTATCACTAATTTGTTGTGTGTTGCTGTTTGCAGTCACCTCAGTTGCTCTCTCCAACACCTACTGAGGTAATCCCCAATGCCTTTGTTCTCCTCTTCTGACCCCTTTTGTCATGCATAAACCTGGTCATATTGATAACCAGCAGCGTCTGAAATGTGGGGTTTGCCTCCTGCCTCTACAGTGCATGGGGTTTTATAATTTATGTTTTTCCCAGTGTTACTTGTGTTGAATACGTGCTCTGCTTCTGGATTGTCATCTGTATGCATCTATCTCCGCTGTCATCCATGTTTCTGCTTTCCAAAATAAAGGTTGTATTGTGGTCACTTCTTCAAGCTCTACTAAATAAATTACTGTGGGAAATATGATTTATGTTTACATTTAAAGCTGCCAATGTGAGTTGAAATAATGCTTGGCATAACTTTCTCTTCTTTTTTTCCTTTTTATTTTTTTTTATTCCACAAATAGTTAAACTATTTATACTATTTGTGCAGACATACTCTTAAATCATTTGCACATATCTGAACTTCTAGGTCTGTGTATTTTGATGTACATTACTGATCAAAGCCAGTCATTGTTTCAAGATACATCACCTTGGAAGCAGTGAAAGCATTTCACACAGCTTCCCAGATAGTAACTCAATTACATATCACAGGCCTGGCTAATTTCTCCATTATCCCAATTTTATGTTAAGATAACTGTATTGCAAAATTTTGGTAATAGTGGAGAATTGTGAATTTTCACTAAGGATTGTAAATCACCAACTGTCACCATAAGCATTGGTTAAACAGAGAAGTTAACCAATAGAGATATAATTTCATTGATAGTTTAAAAATAAAAATGTATTTTATTTAATATTGGATTTCATGAACTTGATTGACTGTTCTTTACAGAGACACAAAGTATCCAAAAGGTAAGGTCTGAAATAATCAATATGAAATCTCAGTGTTTTGGAGGATCATAATAATTTCCTTTAAATTAGCTATCAGTTAGCAAACAGTCATACTATTAAATTCCAGAAGTGACACTGGTATAGAGGTTGGTGGTGCCGTGGTTCATGTTATATGACTTCTCCAGGTAATATAGCTTTGCCATGCTTGCTGCCTGTAGAGAGTCTATGATCAGGTGCTCAGGCATCATCATTTGAAGACTCGTCACCAGTTTTGTTGCAGGAATTCTTATTAGAGGAAAATTTCACTGTATCACACAATTGGACACATAGTAGACCATTAGCTAGCACCATATGGGATTTAAATATCATTGTGAGACTTTCTAGATATTGCTATACTGCTTGTAACTCTCTTCACAAGGATTAAAATGAGTGTTAAATATTGTAGCTACTTTGGGAGGGAAACCTCTTGAACTGGGCGTAGAGGGGTTGGTAGCAGAATGCCTACAGAACACTGCATGCTTGGGAAGGCATTGGTTGTTCTCCCTTTTTTTCTATAATTTCTTCTGAAATGGATATTAAAGCAATAATGCTACTTACTACTAAACAAAACAGATTTTCTATTTTTGAAAATGCAGTCTGGAGTGAGGTGGAAGGAACAGGGCACACTTGAGCCAGAGGAGAAAAAGTGATGATAAGAGAACATTGTATGTCTCCACAAAGTCAAGGATAATCCCAGAGAAGCCAAATGGAAAACTGTATTCATCTAACGATGAATGGATAGATATAATTAAGTTGTCCTGATAGGAATCTGGAAGATGATGATGGGGCTAAGTAGGATCTCTTGTGTGTTTAAATGATGAATGATCTAGTGGGAGTCATACAGATGTCTGAAGATGTCCCAGGATTCATGACACATGACTAACACCTGCTATGGTATAGTCTGTCTTCACTCACCCCTATTGGAATAGGAGAGAGTAAGCATTTTTTGGAGTATGACTTTCCATAAGGGAACAGGAGGATTTATTCTAATTTGAACATTGATTTGTCCTAATTTGAAGTTAACTCAAGCCAATTCTAGTTTGTCTTAAAGGAAACAAGAAATCTGAATTTGCTTTTATAGCTAGTTTACAAAAAATTATTTCCACATCTAAGTCACTCAGTAATGTTTTTACTGTTAAGACACTACATGCAAATTGCAATTGTAACAGCTAGCTATCGAGAGTGAGGGGTTTGGAATGGGTGTACGTGGTTTTAAGTGGTTGAAGCCAAGGTTTTAGTGGGAAATGGGTTGTATGACTTGCTTTGCACAATGCTGCAGTATTAATGCTCATGCAATATCGGAGCATTTTTATCGGTCACCTAGCTAGTAATGACCATGTTGTAATATGGTACGCTGGGCAATTTATACAGCAGACACAGTTGCTTCTGTGATGTAATGAAGCCAACAAATGCTGATTTTTGTGTTGCCTGCAACTATTACGCAACCATTCGTATGGGTACAAAGTGACCATAGTACTATCATGCTAGCCGGATCTCATCTTTCACCCACCCATGTATGTTCAGGGAATTACACTGTCCTGAAACAACACTTCTACAGTGTTACGTGCTGTTCAGATGAAATTGTCATTTTAAATTCGTGTATGTGCTGACTTTCCTGGGAACATGACTGTTCTCTGATACCTGGCAGAGCTCCTTTGGTCATATGGCGGCGGAGGTGCTTACAGCTGAAAGCCACCTCATTTCGTGGGATTGCATGGAGTGTTACGACAGCATCAACTTCCATCTACGTGGCACAGAAACATGCAAAATGGCAAATTCTGCCTGTTTCTGAAGTGACTTCTCTTCCCTAATGACATATATTTCCTCTGTTCTTCTCAGGGTGACCAGGATGACAGATCTTTCAAGCAGTACAGGACGTCAAGTCCTAGCTCTGCTGGCTCGCTGGGCTATGGTCGCTACACTCCAACCTCCCATTCTCCTCAGCACTACAGCAGACCAGGTAATTGAAAAGCAGGCATTTATTCTCTAGATTTTTCCACTACTTTATCTTATGTTGTAAGTAGGGTAGACTCCAGCAGGCAGGGATTTAAGGTGGAGTAGCAGTTCATTGAAGCGTTTTATTTACTCTGAAGAGAGGGTCCCATGGGGAGAAAGGCAACAAGTGCTTCAGGAATGAGCACCTAAGAAAATGAAAACAGGCATCTAAAAAGATTGACTTTATGTATCTGTAAACAGAAGATAGAACAGTTCAGAGGACTTAATTCTGATCCCATCCTGCCTGAAGCTACACATTCAGTCCACAGCTCTTTCACAGTGTGGCGTGGTAGCAGTGAATGCACACAAAGCCAAGAGGGTTGTCGGACAACTTCGTATCCCTTCTTGTACCGCAGGGTTATGGTCCGTGTCTCCTCTCCACAGTGCAAGAGCTGGAGGAGTGACTAGTGGTTCTAATGACTGGATTTTGAAGGCAAGGTTGCTTTAGTTGAGAAGCTTACAGCAATGTTTATTGCAGCTTTGGGCTGTAGTGACAGCTGTGTTGGTGTTCTTGTTGCACAGAGAGGAGGGATCACCCCCTTTTGATCTTTGCATGGGGGCCCCATACAAAGACCCATTTGTATTTGGGCATTGTACAGAGATTTATCCTTAGAAATATTCAACTAAATTGTTCAAAATTAATTCCATTTTTTCTCCACTCCATCATTTGGGTGGAAAACACAGAACATTTGTATTATTTTCTTGGTGTCTTTTAATTTAATTGGGGATACATTATAATTAGTACATAAACTAGTTTGGAAAATTGGGAGTTCTTAATCTTTCCAGTGGAAATGAAAATATTATGGGTAACACAATTTTTACAGGAACTGAATATTTGTACTACATAAAGTCTTTGATGAAGTGGAAATGAGATTGAGTGTCAAAGATCTGTTAAAGAGAAGAAAGATTAGTCTCCACTGAAGGTCTGGCAGCTGTGTCATGCTTAAGCTTAGCTGCACACTGTTAAAGCAAGGAAGAAAGATGAAAGAAATTCCAAATTTATTCAAATGTTTTACAGCTTCATTGAAAATTTAGAAGATAGTCATCATAATTGCCACTTCTAATAATTGCTACTAGTCCTCCAAAATATGTTATCTGGGACATTATTACAACAAAGCAAACAAAGATGACTTCTGAGAATGTTTTTCACAGTGTGTAATCACATGTCTAACTTTCAGAGCTCAAATAACTTCAGGATGTTTCTTCAAATGCTTAAATTAGCCATGCACTTGAGTGCCCTGGTGCGTTGTGAACTAAATCCTACCAGTGTGCACCGACGGCAGTGAGAACTGGACCCACTCATAGCACAGTTCTCAGCAGAGACAAGGCTCTCCCCATTTCATTTCATTAGATCCATTATGAGCATATATCATTCCCTCTTGCAGCTTTTGAATATGCAGATTTTCCCCCGAGTGCAGCTATGCTTTTTGTGGTGCCTTTTCTGGAATATTTTCTGATGCGTTACATTATCAGCGTTTTACATGATACTCTTTCTGCCTGCGGAAAGCCCGTGTCCCTTGGCCGATCGCATAGTATGGCCACTGTGAGGGTTTTAGCAATAACCGGAGAAAGATGGAGTCTTAAATGTAAACTATATGTTTTCTAAGCATCAGGAGGAAAATGTTCCTGAAAAAAAGGATGGCATTGTAATCTGTGGCTTTCAGTAAGTGAACTAAATAGTTTATTTTCACTTACTCTCTGTTGCCCCCAGCTGGTACTCAGAGTCTTGGTACCAGTAGCTGCATCTCCCTGCCCCAACACCCAAGCCCTACATCTACATTCAGACATCATTACATCCCTTTCTTCAAAGGTAAGGTCCAGGAATGCAAAACCGTGCTGTGGTACTGTAGACTTATTCAGATGTGTTTCACTTTTATGTCTGTGCAAGCATGGCTTCCACTTGGATAAAATTTGTCTTAATTTTGTGCAAGTGCTTTCTTGATGTACTGTGTAAGTTTTAAGAACTGAGTGGGTATGGGTTGTTTTATTTTTGCTTTTTTTCAGTGAGTGTTAAGTGTTTTTCAAAGGGGTGGAGGGAAGGAATTAGATTTTGTAATCAAAGTGAGGGAAGGAAATAAGTTAAAAGTCTATTTGTTCTAAAATACAGTGCTTACCCTATTTTGGTGACACTACATAAATATTATAACAAGCTTATATGTTGGATCCAACATTGGATGATCAGTTATCTAACTTCGTAACCTACATCTAGGGATTCGTTATATTATTTGTAGCATTACTAAAAATTATGCCAGATAAGCTGGGTGAATCAATACACCTGCACTGATTAGCAAATAACGCGATAAAACAAAGTATCTGAGTATCTCCATTACATTTTTCTGCAGTGGATATTAACTTTTAATGACCTCCATGTTGCGGATGTGAGACAGTAATGAGAAATGCCAAGAACTTTTGAGGCAAAGGCTATTTTTTTAGCTAGCTAGTTAAATGTCAGAAAGGCGGCATTCAGGTACCACATGTCTCTCCCCCCGAGTCTGTCCTCTCTAGCAACAATACAAGTGGGGAGGAGACATGAATGATGAATGCCAAACATTTTCAGTGCCTGTTCCTTGACTCTCATGTACTGTTTGATTTAATAAAGCAAAACTGTTTTCCTTGCTGTCGTAACCATTACAGAAACGGAAGCGACCTTTTTTTTGCAGGAACCAGACTTACAAACAGGTCTGACATACAAACTCAAATGAGTAGCAGGCACTCATTGCCTTGGGAAAAATCACAAATGTATCTTCAGTGAGCCCTAATGACTCCAGAAACAGTTCTGTCCAAAGTCAGCTGAATTTCACTGGTAAGCAGGAACAGAATCAGGCTCAGGTCTTCCAAATGTGATCCCCAAGAGAAAATTTTGGAGGACACGCATATCTTGGAAGGCCGGCACACATTCTTGTATTCCCTGAGGCACTGCTTGAGCACTGTCTTGATCCGTCCTCCAAATTTGGACAGCATTATCCAACCTGATGTACTGAGTAAGAAAAACCTTTTCAGTGTGCTGCAGTGCACGATTTCACTGTATGGAAAGCTGTTATTCGAAAGCCCGCCTGCAGTTGCTTAGCAGCACTCCTGTTAAAATGAGTTTCTGTTCAGTGCTACCTGCTGTTGCTCAGGGCAGCAGCAATTACTTAGCGGTGCTGTTTGGAGGATGAAAACCTCAAGTGGCAGCTCCTTGTGCCCAAACAATTACTAGTAGTGTGATCAAAATTATAATATTTTGCAATTCTGTAGCACTTTTTATCAAGGAGCTAAAATATTTTGCAGGCAGTAGCTTCCAGTGGCCTCACTGCGCTCCTGTGAGGCAGGCGAGCCTGTTTATAATTTTCATATATAGGTAATCCTGAGCCCTGCCGAGGTTATATAGATTATCCACTGTTTTACACAAGAGTTAATGTCTCAATCCAAAAGGAGTCAGAAGATTTGCCCCCATCCTCGTCAGCTTCTCCGAATTCTTTTCTCTGAATTGCAGACTGTTTTTTTTCCTTATCTTGAGAAGCCTTTTGAGGGCGTCAGTGTGCTATTTTTTTCTTATCGAAGTGGTTAGTGTGGGAAGAGTAGGATTGTAGAAATAGTTGCTTTGTATCCAGACTAAGGTTAATGTTGCCACTTCAGTTTTAAAAAAGTTAAATCATTTAAGAATTTTTTATTAAATCCAAAAATAATACACTGGTTAATAACAATAGAAGTAATCTTTGTAAAACCAGCACTCCATCATAAAAAATATTTCTTTAAGCTTCCAGGAGACAGAAATGTTACTCCCCTAGGGAAATTAATAGAGGAAGAATCTTCTTTTTGACTTCACTGAGTTTGCATCATATTCATCTTGAGAATTAACATGGTTCATCATTTTTCCAGCGAAAAATATGATTACTGAGTTCCTGTTCTTTCTTTAGTATGCTGTAGTCTAGCTCCCATGAAGTGTAATAGGATGAGCTATTCTTTATCATGCAGACAAATTATTTGGTTGTGCTCTTTTAAGGATTTTTGTCTTCAAAATAAATCCTGTGACAGCCTCACTTCAAGAAAGCTTCGCAGTTCATGCCCTTGCAAATCAAAGGGTGTGATATTCCAAGCACCTACACTTGGTGTAACTCTTCCTCTTGAGGTGATGGAGTTGGTGAGCGTGCAGGCTGTGCTGAGCCCTGCGGCAAAAATGCTTACTTAAAATGTGGTGGAAAGTATCTTGCCTTTCTAGTGCAGGAGCACAGCTTTCAAAGCCCGGTTATTTGGCTTTGAAAGCTTGAAAAGAATTAGTCATCAAACTTCAAAACACTTTGTCTAGCTTAATGCACCATGTGCAGAGATATTAAAGGATCCAGTTTCAGGAGCAGGCTCTGACATCTTCCTCCTTACACCAGTGGTATCTGTTTGTTGTTCAATCCCAAACTTAAGACAGCTCTTACTGTAATTTGTTATCAAATTCCCCATCCTCCCAGATAAGATAAAAGCTGACTAGGAGGAGGTATAAACAATATGATACTTTTCCTGACAATCCCTTTAAAAGGGAGCATGGTCTGAGCTCTGGTCAGTTGACTTCACACACACGAGGTTAGAAGAGCAGCCTACCCTGTCAGCAGCCAAAAGACACAAGGAAGTTTCTGTGGTTGATACTCAAGTTCAAAGTAAACTTTTCCAGATTCTTTCCAAGTTAAACAAAATCCAGGGAAGAGTTCATGATTCTGGTTTTTTTTTTGCTCTGCACTGACCAGTAGAGCAGATCACAGCCTGCAGCTGCTTGTGGCAGAAGACAAAACCAAAAGTTTGAAAAATCACTCTCTCTGGTAGTTTTATTTTCTCTGAGATCTTATTTGAAGTTTTTCTTCAATGTATACCAGGCAAACCTTGAAAGAGACAAATTCTGGCAAAGTCTCACTTTAGGGATTCTTATAGGTTAGATTAAATGACTGTCTGGAGTTCCTACATGTGAACTTTCTACATGCAAAATGTGAAATACAGCTGCTCTTCTGTGTTCGTCCAAATCGGTGACAGAGTTATAAATATAATTTAAATGTGCATCAGCTTGTACGAGTGGGCTGCAGGAAGAACCTTTTCCCTCATTTCATCCTTAATTCTTCCCTTTCGAGCAAGTTAGAGGTGATGGCTTTGCAAACTGCTCCACCCAGGTGATCCTTGCATCGAGCAGTTTGTGGATTTGTTGTCCCCTGGTACTTGTGCTTACATCCTGTTTCCTTACAAGTTTATTCCTCTTAATCAATGCTTCCTCCTGATTCCCTGCTGACACCCTACTCCATCCCTGAAGAATAACTCTACGCGTGTACAATGCCAGCCCCTTGGAGTCACTACTCAATGAAGTAATTATTTATCCAAGTTATATATGAATATGGCTTTTTAATACTGTGCTAATTTTAAGTAAATGAGGAATTAATAAACTGAAAACTTTTCTTTTTCTTTTTAAATTAAAAAATTCCAATAGTAACATCACTTTGGGATGAAGATTTTTAAGGTTATTGGAATTGTAAAGGACCTTACTTAAATAAGTGTCTACCACTGCTATTTGTGTTCAAAGTTGGAGTGACATTGAGGCTTCTTCCATTTAGTAGGGATGGCCAAGCATCTGGGCAGCAAGCAGCAGAGAAAAAGGGAATTAATAAATGTGCAGTGAAAACCTGTCACCACTTCTTTCCTTCCAAGAGCAAAGCGGGAATCAAGAAACTGAATACCCGTCTGGTTCCTCGTCTGAGGACAACTTGACCACAAGCTGGTAGTGATGCACCAGATTTTTAGTAATGCCATAATTCTTCCCTTACGTTTTGGAAGGACCATAGTCTAACGGCATGTGCAGTTGTAATTTCAATTTCTCAACTGCTCTGCTTACATTTTTTCAACGAGAAATGAGTACATGGTGGTAATGGCTGAATATTTTTAGAGTTTTAATTTTGCACCAACTGCAAAAATAACAGACACAGAATTTAGAACAGATGCGTTAGTGTATCATTATGAGATGCACATGCACGCTCTTCTGACCTCGTCTGGTCTGCTTCTGCTCCCGTTGAACTCAGCGGCACTACCCGGTTGGCTTCAGTGGTGCGTGTCAAGGCTGGCTTTGGTGACAGACCGATGACCATGTGTCCACTGCTTGTCAACAGAGGCAAGGGCTCAGCAGAGACCACCTCTATGGGCATGGCCTAGACAGTTATGGGAATCTAGTAGCTTTATGGTTATAAAACTTCCCCTCCCTGAAGGCAGAACTCAGTGACAGATCTAGTGTTCTGAGCTGCTGCACTTTCTTTACCCCCAAAAAAACCTGCTATAATTTCATCGTTGCTAGCCATTAAATTTGTGCTCCATCCACACTAAAATAATAACAGTGAATTAACAACCATTTTATGTTAGATTAAATGTCATGTTTGGCTTCCAGTTGCTTAACAGTGCTGTAAATTAATTGGATTTTACAAGTCCCAAAAAAGTAGAGCTTTACTTTTTTGTTTGCCAAGCAGCACTATAATGCCATAGAGTGTGCTTTCGGGGAAATTAGTTGTGAGGAAATGAATGGCACCTAATGAGCATTTGACAAAACAAGTGGAAAAATGAATATGGATCAATCCTATCTATATTTTGAAATTGGGTGAAATGACTATGGCATTATAGATTCATGACTTGATAATCCAACCTTGTTTGTGTAAATATAAAATGCTGTGGCATGTTACCTGTGGGAAAAGTTTGCAATTAAGAACCAAAGTTCAACATCTGTTTTTTGTCACTGATACATGCAGGAATATTTGACTTAACCATAACTTTTTTTTTTTTTTGGTCTAGTCCTGCTTTGAAATAGTTTAAACACTACTGAATTATTTCATTACTGGTTTCAGGGGTAGGCTGTGAGCCATAGCATTAAACTTTTCAAAAACTTGATTGATAGATTATTCAGTTAAGGCAATGCAAAACACATTGCAAGACTCTGGATGTTCTTATCCTTTTATTTTCTTCATTAAAGTGTTGTTAAAAGAGAAGCTTTTGTTTCCAAGCGGGGCAGTTTAATCTGATATTATCTATCAGATATTCATTATTGATGAGATGTTTGGAGACTGAGCCAATACACTGCACTGAAAAATAATGGGTTTTACAAAAGCTGTATATTTAAAACTGTTGGATTAACAAGTCATTCTGAACAAGCTTTCATGCTTGAAATACTCTACTTTGCTTTCCATTTTTTCTTTTATCTGCTTTCTTTGCTCTTCCCCTTGGAGGCAGTGAAAGTGGTCGGAGCACTCCAAGCTTATCCATGTACTCAGACAGCAAATCTTCACCTTCTGTCTATCAGCAGGCTCCTAGGCATTTCCATATTCCAGGTAGGCATTCACTGCTTAGCTTTTGATCTTCAATTGCCAGCACCTGTTTATTCTCTTCTGAATTATGTAATTTTTTTTTTTGCATTAATTTGTGAACTTCAAACTGCAAGAGAAGAAAATGTCTGATAAGTGAAAATCTGTTAACTGTTAAACTTGGTTTCAGAAGTAAAGGAGTTAGAGACCTGTGTGCTTAAGTATATTAAAAAAATGCATTAGACGAGGCACACAGTGACAAATGTTATTAAGCCTGCAAAGATACAATTATTTATAGTGCCATGGCTGCATAGGTCTCTTGAACTTGTGTGCAGGAGGGAAGGCTAAAGGGGATTTTGGTTTTGTTTTTTTTCCTTATACATCTATTCTCTGAATTAGAGAGTCATATTAACATAGACTAAAAATAGCTGGAAGACTTCAGACCTCTGGGAAGCTCACTATGGTTGTGTCTGCATATGTACTATACTCTTTTCAAGTTCACATTCAGTCAACAAGCACATTAAATTTATGTCCACACTGTTTAGCTTTTTGACTGCTAAGCACGTCTACCTACTCAGTGGAATCGTTTGTTTATTTATGTTTAGCTTCTGGAGTTAACATTTTTGAAACACACCGTAATTAGGAATTGTATCTGCTCAGGGCTGTAGTACTAAGTAAATCTGTTGTCTGTACAACATGATATGGGAACCCTGGATTGTAGCTCTGGGGCTTTAAAAAAAATCCCTGGAAGGCCAAATTAGCTATACAATTCAAAATACAGACAAACTATAGAATTTCCTATATTGGGCACTTCCAGTGTAAACATCTATATCTGAACATGTACACCTTCTTCATAATTAATGGAGAAAGTCCCTTTTCAAGTGTGACTATTATAGTAGTCTGTTGTACCTGTATATGGATTTTGTTTTAAGTAGTGACAAGTGTAGCCAGTTCCTCTTTGTTGTCAATGAAGTATACATTGGTAGTGCAGATGTAACCACCTACATTTCAGCAAATGGATGCCATTCAAGGTGTCTTAAAGCATTCTGAGAGACTTAGGGGGGATTATGCTGCGTAGGTAGGTATAGCCAGTGTTTTAAATATATAAAGATGATGGGGAAGGCTTCATTCTCTTATGATAATAGTGAATGCAAACCACTGAATAAATGCATAGTCTTTGCTGAAATGTTTGCATTTTTAGTGATGTTGAGAAAAGACGAGCAGCATGGTCTGAACTGCTTGCTTACTCTTTTATTCTTTCCTTTCTCTTTCGTCTCCCTCAGACACTGGCGTAAAAGATAACATCTATCGGAAACCTCCTATCTACAAACAGCATGGTACAGTCTGCTTTTCTCTGCTGCAGTTTTCTCTACATATCTTTGTAAAGAAATACATATTGACTTCTGAATGAGTTTGTTGTAGTCTTTGCATTTCATTATGTCCCCATAATTTCAAATAGAAAAGGGAAAAAAGTAACATGAGCACTTAATAGCATTTTGTGTAAGATGATATCCAGGGATTCAGTAAGTTCTCTAAAACCAGGATAATGATATTTTTGATTTGTCTTGGTAATTCTGAGCAGTTTTCTTATTGATGGAATGATATAAAACATGTAAATGTAGAAGGTTGCTCTTCTATTTTCAGACAATGCTTTGTGGTATCTACTTTTTGTAAATAATTCTGACTTGTACATTGCTGGGGAAAAAAACATTCATTGATAAGTGACGTGTATGAAATATCTACTTTTCATCTGCAAGTTCTTCAAGATGTAAAATATCGGGAACAAATGTGATCACACCATGGCAGTAAGGAACAAATTCAGTAGCTGATAACATTGGCAAGATACGATTGGTAAAACTTTGGTAAACCCAGCAACAAAATTGCTGTCTGAGTTTCTAAACAACATAAAGAAATATGTGACCTTTTATACCACTGAGGATCTGACTTAAGGCTCTAGTAAATATAAAAAATAGATATATAAAGTCTGCATTTTTCTATTATTATTTTTACTGTATATTTCACTGATTAACATCAATGCAATTTCCATGTTGGTGTCAATTCCTACTGTGTTCTCAGTGATGTCCGTCAATGATCTTGGTTTATGATACAAGCTTAGGAATACAGAATTCATTCTTCTAAACTGATTTCCATTATTAATCTTTGAATCAAGTATGTATGGATTCTGCTGCAATAGGGTACCTGAAAAGTGCAGAAGTACACATCTGATTAAGAGTCATGACTGGGGTACTCCTGTCCTCAGAAGCAAAGGACAAAAAGTAAAAATGAAATACGTAATATAATGTTCCCCAAACCAAAAATTGTATTACAATCATGATTACTCCCCTTCTTGGGAATGAATAAGAGAATAAATAAACATGAGAGATGTTTATCACTCTGTGAGCAGTAGCTAAGGCACGTTGGGGATGAAAGCTTGTCTCTCTGGGAATGCAGATGGGAGAGCGAAGCTATGTCACTCTTGATGGCAAGGGAAGGTCCAGTCTGTGCCTGTGAGCAGTGTCTCTGTTGGAGCAGCTCCTCTCATCCTATTCCTTCGGCAGCACTGTCCACACAGAGGTGACGTCCCTTGTTGTATGTAAGAGTCAGAAAGCTCCGTGTTGTCTGTTCTCCCATACTTTGGCTTTAGCTGATAACTTTCCCTGAGTGAAAGGTCAGGGAACTGCAGATACATCACTGGTTTCATGGTCAGAACAAGGGAAATACATTTTACATATTTTTCTTTGGTGGTAACAGGGAGCTTTAACTGATTTTAAAATACCCAATTAACATAGTTTCAGAAATGATGCTTTTATGTAGTTATCATTTTTTACTATCTTTCACGGAAAAACAACAGTTATTTCTGTTTTGGATGAAGTTCTAGTTTGGATCTGATACAGTAATAGGAGAAAGAAAATTGTCAACTGATGTCTCCCAACTGAGTGAGTCAGCCTATGCGCCTTCACAATAACTGGTGCTTTGTGCTAAAGTAACTGTACGTTCAAATCATCCAGATTAAGATAACCTCTGCTTCTTCTGGGTATGGTTTTGAGCAAAGTCAGACTTACTGACGTTTCAGTGCACTTTAGGTGTCAGTCTTTGATAAGACGTTTTCTGCTCCCAATATCGTAATCTTGGACAAACTAATGTTACCCTTAAGGCAAAAAGATAGTATCTGTTTGATTTAGTGCTTGAATTAATGTAATCTGCCAAACTTATAGTCTGCCCAAGCTCTCCTATTTCTTCTTGTCTTCAGATATATTTGAGGCAACTACTCAGACTGAGCAAAAAAAGCTACTGTCAAAGGAAAAAGTTGAATATTACAGAAAGACCATGAACAAACGCAGAGTTACGATCATCTGGTGTAAATCAGCATAGCTTCACTGATTTACGCAAGCTGATGATATGGCTCCGATGTCCTCTATCCTGGCTGTGTCATTTTATTTTATAGATAATTTTTATTTGCGAAGAGGATTGTAAGCAGCAGCTTTTTTGTGTTCCAGGCCAGGCATTTTTATATCAACTTTCCGTCCATCAGATATGCAGTCGAAGTCTGGTTTATGTCAATTTTGCACTGCTCTACGGAGTTGTTTTTTGTAATCACTGGAGTAAGCGGAGAATTAAATTATCGAGTCAGCAATCTCTATAGGTAACAAGGATATATGTTTTAAACTTTCTTTTATAGATTATAGATGTTCTGAAAGGTTGTGTTGAAAATACATGCTCATTGTTTTTCTACTGAAGAGCAAAACACAATTTACTCCAACTCAAAAACCAAAAAAATCAATGAACTTTCCTTCCAATTAAAATAAAAATAAATAAATAAAATTTACCTTTTATTCTGGAAGAACTCCTGGCTAAAGCGTGAAGACATGCGCAACTGATGATTCGCCTCCTCAAGCTAACAGGACACTGAACATGCTGAAAAGGAGCCAGAGAACATTCCTTTGTTGAAGAGACCAAGTTTGAACAAACAAGCACAAAAATGTTCTTTAAAACAAAAAAGTGCAAGAACCCCTTCCGAAACATTTAGCTTTGAAAGGTTTCAGTTACAGCAGTGCCCAACAGATTTTCTGTAGCTACAGCTTCTGTGTTTCTATTATAAACACCCAACTTCGAATGAAACAAAGGTGGTGGAAAAATGGGATGTATGCGAGATCAGGCTGAAAGCTGGGGCTGGAAAGTGAAGAGTGTGGGAGCTTGTGTGGTTGTTCTTTTGTGTGTGTTCATGTTTCAAAAATACTTGAACATAGTTCACATTTAAAAAAAGAAAATTAAGCGGTTTGCTCTTCAGCAATATTAGCACTGATCCATGTGAAACATGCAGTTCGCATTGGGGTTCACAGCAGAACCAAGTGTCCCTTTTATCAGTGAACTCAATGCTCAGTACTGATGAAATTCAGGCCACTTGGATTTATCTGCCAGCCACGTGTTTTAAAAGCACTCCCAGGAACTTGGGAGCAGCAGGCCTTCATGGCCCCCCTTGGTTTTTTGTCGTACTCCTCTGCTTCTCTGTATAAAACCTCGGTGTTCAACTATTTTGAAGTCAGATGCTCTCAAGATCCCATGGAACATTTGAAATCTCTGAATAACACTTTGGATTAAACTTGTTTTTTCCCTGTGAAAACATCAACATCATGAAGCAAAAACAATTTCCCAAAATGCATCAGATTCTCTACATGGATTTCTGATTTAGTGACCGCAAGATCCATACATATAACCTGGAACGACTTATTGACTGGTGATTCAGGGTATGCTCCCAAAATATCAGTCAACCAGATTTAAGTCCTTCTTGCAATGTAGAGACTTTATGCTTCATCTGTCATACATGGATATTTCTTTTACAAAGAAGCAACTTGCCATCTGGGAAAATGCCCTCGTCAGGATGCTATTAGCTAACTGTAAAAACTTTGAACTTTTTCATAATGCTGTTTTTATTTTATGATCTAGCTTTGTTTTGCCACATTAAATTGAGAAGGAAAAAAACCAAAAACCAAAAACCTCTACAGTTACAGATTTTTCACCTCTAACCCATAGATTTTTTTCCTTACTGCAATTTTCATATTTTAAGTATCACATCCTCAAAAAAACCCAGTTAAGGTCTGGATGTGAGCTGTGTGATAGCACCAGAAAATGAGACAGAATAGCACTGTGATGCTAACGGTGGTGGCCTTTTGCCCGGGTGGTTTAGATGCAGGACAGATCCTCTGCAAACATGCGGGCAGGGGAACCGAAGAGGGCAGAGTTGTTCCCAGCTAGCTGGGGGTGTTACAGCACTTTCACGGTGCAACTTGATCTCCTCCCCTCCTCTGTCTCTGAGAGTCTAATCTGAGCCTCAGCTTTTGTATTATCATAGTATTTTTATTGTTAATAAATATGTTTTCTGGCTACATTGTGTTGCATGGGGCTCTTGCGTTGCTCTTGCACTCAGGCATTGCAGACAACCCCCTTGTAATGGTGACTTCTTGTGGGCTTAAAATTATGCTAGGTCATTGCATTACTCCAGTTTTGTAGTATTAAACTCTCCCCAAAACAACATAAAGTGATACAAAGGCAAGCAGGACTCAAATTTTGGGAAGTTATCCAAAGTGGTGTGAAATTTGGCACAAAATCTTTCTGTAAGATTCTAAGGTGTAACTCAGTGTGTGGAACAATATGGTGGGACATAAAAGACAAGGAAAAACACACTTAATGGTTGGGATCTATCTAATTAATAGCTTTTAGGTTTTCAATTTTGAGGTTTTCTTCTCCGCAAGTTGGAAAGTTACAAGAAAAGAAACCAACAGTAAAAACATCAGCTATATTTTTTTGTTAAAATACTCTTTAAGAGGACAATATAGTCAGAAAAGTGGTTGTTCACAGAAGTGTGAATTTTAGAGTCTTACACAGCCTCTCTTGCAGATTTCATGAAGAGGTAATTCCAAATTTATTTCTATCTTCTTTACCATCGTTGCCTATCCTTTTGGGGAACGTAGGAGACCCAGGTGTGCAGACCACAAAGTATCTATATAACCCTTTCATGGTCATGGCAGCACAGAAGAATGGGGAAATGACTTGCTCCTGTGTGCAGTGACCGTATAAATCTGTCCCTAAGTTATGATGTAGGGTTTTTTCCCACGAATCGTTCCCCAAAAATAGTTTCTTCCTAAAAAGACAGGTTCAAAATGCTGCAGGAATAGATTCTAAATTGACTGTATGTCTGAAGGATGAGTATTACTGTAATAATTTCAATATTAAGTAATTCTGTAAAACCATAGCTCTACACATGGAATTTTCTGCCCAGCTGTTTTGGTTTTGGGGTTTTTTTTAATTTTTTTTCCCCTCCTCTTATTTGGAACATAACCACAGTCAAAACAGAAGACAAAAAAGATTTAATCTGTTCTAATTTTTAAAATTAACTTAATCTTCCAGCAGCAAGAAGATCAGAAGCGGAGGATGGAAGCTTGGATCAGGACAGTAAGAAGGTAATGATCAAAAAGAACAAAAGGGAGGAGTTTATTGAACTTTCTTGAAGTAACTGTTTCTTAAAACATTCATACATAAAGGTATTATTTCATCTAACTGAAATAATCATTACTACTTTTGGGTCTTTCCAAGAAGATATAGAAAAGCTTAATCTCTCACCCAGAGGGTTTAAAATCTGCATTGTACAGTAAAGAAAGAAATAGGGATATTGAGATTAAGAGCAATAAGGGTATGGATTTTCACTCAGTCTCAATATATACTTTGGTGATTCAGCTAAGCCTGCAGACTTTTACTTAGGGTGCATATTGACATACCAGAAAAATGTTAACAGCAGATTAATTATAAGATGACATAGTGCATCTTCTACTGTGGGGTGCAGTGGGCAGCTTAATTAACAGAGAAACTATCCTCAGCCTGGCTGAAAATTAGAAGTTTTTTGTAGCTGTGGCAGCTAACAGGGAGTCCCATGGTATAGTCAGCTTTTACCATTTGATAAAGGATGGTACAATGAGCCTAAATATGCAATCAGTTCACGAGACTTCCCAGACAGGTGAAGTAGAAGAACAGCATTCAGACGTTAAATCCTGAATCCTGTAACAGGCTTTTACTTTCTCCAGCTAAAAACCAGCTGGCTTATCCTGAAAGGGGATATGGACACCAGAACTAATTCCCCGGACTCAGACACCCGGTCCCTGTCTCTTACTGCTGGAACCGACAGAGAAAACTTCCCGAGGGCACAGGAGGGCACGACTGCCGGCTACTCCCGTGAGTACTGCTGCCTGTTTTCAGTGGGCGGGATGGTACGGTCAGGCAGATGGGTGACTTGTGCTAATTGCTCCTTGATACAAACTGTGTATTTTGAATGTTAGTAGAGCCATTTCTTCCGTATTGTGATAAAGAATACTTTGCTTCACAGGTTAATTTAGAATAGGCATTTGTTATTATTTCTCACAGTTATACCTCTAAAGTTCACAGAAACTTTCCAGATATATAAGCCATTGAGTAACCAGGTGGAATAATGGGATCATTTTGTAGCTAAATACTGGTCTGAAGACCGTATGTCCACATTTGCTGTCAGTACAAAAAGCATGTCCTACATGCTTCCTACTCCGCATTTCAGCAAGTCAGGAGGTGAAGGAAATGATCCTCAGAATTGAGTCTGAATTTTACTTTTAGATTACATGAATGGCAAGAAATACTTTAAATGAATTTTAACAGATGACTGGGCCATTCCTCTCCCTGCCTCCTCCACTTCACACCATACAGCAGTAGGAGGTCATCTGGGGTAAACAAGTTGGGGAAGCAGTTTTCCAAAAGAATGCATCCAATGCAAGGCATGTCTGGCAGCGGGGCTAGGATGTCAGTCTTGTGGGCATTTTGGTAATGTGATAGGTGGCTCCATCAACTTATATTAAGGAAATTATGGCTTAGCTATGCAAGGAAGAGGAAAAACAGATGCTACACAGTCTGTCACAAGGCTGTAACGAGATAAAGAAGAAAAGTTATTCTGGATCATCAGTCTCACTGGTCTAACCTGAAGGGATTTGATTCTTTAGTCCTCACCAGACATCGCATACATGTGCGCGAGGTGTGTTGTAGGATTCCCTGTGCAGGGGAAACCAAGTCTGGCCACCTTACACACCTAACGTCTATAAGTCATTGCCAAGAAATGAACACCTAAACCTCTCATTGTAACGCACATGTCAGGTATGTTTGGAAGCTTTCTGAAGTTGATCTGATGCTTTTCTACATACGTATTGAGAGAATAGGCCTTGTGTGCAAATTTTAAGTAGACAGAAGTATGTAGCACACCAAGAACTGTGTTATACAGGAACAAATACAGTGTCAATTTTTTTCATGAGAATATTGCTACACCTGTCACTCTTCTATGCTAGCATTTCTTTTCTGGTTTTTTATTATCTTGGGAATGTGGAACTATTAAAACTAGAGATGCAAAAGATGGTTCACACCTCTGTCAGGGTCAATATCACCTCTGTGCCAATACAATGTTGCTTGTGTAGTTCATTTTCCATCGTTTTTTTCTCAGCTTTTCTCTGTCCCTTGTGAAAGGTGGCCCTGTTACCCAATTAGCAGCTACACAGAAATGACATTGAGGAAGTTTTCTTTTCCTGACATTCATGCTTCTTTTTTTCCCTTTCTTTCTGATTTTATTCAGCTACTCGACTGTTTTATTACCCATGGACATCCCCAGTAATTCCTTCTTTACTCAGTGTTTCCCTATGTAGTTCTGAGCGTTTGTAGTCTGTCACATGCCCTGTTGGCCATGGAGGAGTAGCTTCTCAGCCTCTTGCACTTATGGTTGCGAACTCAGACATTCAGCGTCATCTCTGTGGCGTAGGGGGCTGTGTAACCTTTGCTGTTCATGTGTCCCTGATGTGCTGAAAAAACCCTCAAAATATCTAGGCTAGAGTGAGTGTCATACTGGAAAAAGCAGGAGCCATATCCATGCAGAAAGGAGTTGTTGTTCGGATAGTGCCTAATTAGAGTGAAAGATTGCTTTATCTTGGCCACTTACTCCAGAAAATTCCCTGTAATGGTACAACTGCAGTTGGATATGATAATGAGCAGTATGTGGTTGTTGGCTTTTGGTGTTATAATTTTTCTTTATATTAAAAAAAAAAGAAGCAGCAAAATAAAACCTGTTTAACTTTGCAACTAAGTTCATGGGAAGCAGAAGCTAAGTGAAATACAGTTCCCGTTGGAGTCAGTGGGTCTTTTCTTGCTAGCTTGTTTTGGGATATTTCGGCTTTGTACGCCTATTGGATTTTTTCCAGCCGGCCACACGATGTCGCTTGTGCCCGCGGCTGGGGCTCAGTCCTGGCAGCCTGGGAGGCAGCTCCTCAGCTGCTACCTGCTAAAGTCAACTGTGTTTGTTTTCAAACTGTGGTCTGTACCCTAGTGCATTTTTTCCCTGGTAACTGGAGTAATACTATTTGGCAATAGAACAAAACCATCCCACCCATCTTCTCTGTAGCCAAGAGGCCAAGAAATTGAACTCTGCACTGATGTTCAACACCAGCATCTTTTTCCAGGCAGGACTAGAAATGACAGTTCTGTTGCTGATCCGTTCACTCTATCTTAAAGGTGCTATATGCTCTTTGTCCTCTAGTGTCATTACCATTCAGATAACGAGCAATGGTAAATTTCCAGTTTCTAAACTGCAATAGCTAAGTGATCCATCTAATTCGATAATCATCACTATGTCCCTGTATAAGACATGGAAAACCCCTGCTGAAGTTCTGCTCGTAGTTTGTACCACTCCTCAGAGAGTGGTTGATTATGTTTCTAAAACATTTCTTGCTTTTATAGGTCATCTTCATTTTGCTTAAATAAGTCGAGCTTATCAAGCCTTCTTTCCTGTGATGAGCTTTCGTTGCCCCAGTTATCCCATAGGCCAGTGGTCTGGTGGAGTCAATTTAACCCACTTGAACACTGGTGAACAAGAACACCACAAAGGATTTTGCCAGGATCTCCTGTCACTGCCCCAAAATACAACAATTATTTCCATGTCTTATATGTTCAAGCCAAACATTTCCAACTTTTGCCTTTTTTTATACCTACATTAGCAACTCAAGGTTGTCTTATGGTTGAGCTGTTTATCTAAGCCAGTGACTTTCCCTATCATTTCCAAATGATGAGCTCTCAGATTAAATAGTAGAAGTTTGGGATATTTCTTAGTCCCCAAGTGCATGACTTCTACCATGAGTTATTAAATTTTATCCCATTTCTATTACTCTAATGTTCAAGGTTATCCCAGTTAGTTATGATATCCCAATCCTCCTCTATATTGGCAGTGCTTTATAACTTTGTTTCAACAGCAAAGTTTATTAGCCCCTTACTATTTTTTGGTGTGCAGATGATTAGTGAAAATATCAGGCAATTTCAGCTCAGCGCCAGTCTATGCTGACACTTTATCAGCACTGCTCAGTTCTCACTACCCATTTCTTGCATTTCATTATTTCCTTACTGACCCTATAATTCCTCTGATAAACTTCATCTTCTCCAGATTTGCATTTAATTCCACATGCGGCAACATACCAACCATTTTAATGAGATCCAATAGAATTTATGTTGTGCAGAAGTAATTTCTCTTAACAAAGAAGGCTACCAGGCGAGTCTGGCACTGTGTCTTTAACTTATGCCAAACCAATTAAAATCTATGTGACTATAATTGACTTTCTGTTTACTTCGATGTTTTTGTTCAGTCTTTCCTTTCCAGTTTTCTGTTGGAAGCAAACTGATAGCTCCTCATTATCTTTTTCCCCTCTTAAATATAAAAACTGTAGACGCTGTTCTCCAATGGTAAGAGGTATTGGATTTGCAAGTTGATGTGAGCTTATTGCTCCCTATTTAAGTACATTAAGTGCTCTGAATTGTGTTTCCGTCACGACTGATTCATCGGCGTACCCTTATTCCGTTAGCTTCCCCTCCTTGCTCAGTACTCTGCTTTTTGTTCCTAAAAACAGAGGTGAAATGCTCCTTCGATGTTGGAGCCCACCTAGGTTACCTTTCACCTCTGCTGTGCACTGACATAGCGTAACTCCCAGTAATCCCATTTCTTCTTTCCTTGTTCTCTTTTTATTTGGATAGCTGGAGAACCTTTTGCTATTTATTTTAATATCATTTTCAGTGTTTAACTCAGCTTGACTTCTGGCATTTCTCACTTTATCTCAGCACATCATGAGCTCTTTGCTGATCCATCTTTTGTTTTTTCTTTCTGTATGCTTATTCCTAATCATCTCCTTAGGGTATTTATTAATCCAGTGGGGTCTGGATTCCCTTCCTGCACTCCCCTTTGGACACAGATTGCTAGCATTTTTGACAGAAAAAAGCATTGTACATTCAGTTCTTTGAGCTAACTGACTTCTCTAACTCTTTGCATCAATTTATCAAAGTTTCCTGTACTGGAATCAAGAATGTTTATTACACACGTGTTTGTTCATCTTCTGTTTAATTTAAACTGATTCAGCTTGTCATTTCCATACAGCGTTATTTTTATTAACCAGAAACTCCCCTGAAACACTTTTTGTCCTTTCACTGACAAAAGGAACTTCCAAACTTTCTTACTGGACTCTCAAAAGTAAGGCTCTTCAATTGTTTCATACTGACCTCACACAATTTCATTACCGTATTACATCCAGTTTGCTCATGGTAACACCACTTGGACAATTTTGTCTATTTTAAAACTTACTTTCTCTTGAGTGTTATACTCTCACTGCTTACTCTATCAATTGCCATACTTTCATTTATGCTTTTGTCCACTTGAAGCAGTAGAAGTTGTTTTAAAGAAAGCATTATTTTTTTTTAAGTGGTAGGTTACCAACCCTTCTTTTTAAGAAACAAACCCAAAACCAGACCACATGCATCATGATCTGAAGTTATGTAACTCTAAAATGGTGGTGTCTTTAATCTCATTTTCAAGTCATGGTTTAACACCAAGTTGGAGGGCAGGGATTTCACAAGCTCTCAGATCTGCTTTGCATCACGTAGCTGCACAAGGCTTCTGTAACATGAGTCCCACAGCTCTCTTCATGTCATGCCTGGTAAGGTGATTGCATCTGGGCATGCTGTTATTTATAGACATTGTTACACATGTTCATGCACATGAAATACAGAGGACAGATAAGCATTGCTCAGTTATATTTCATCCCGTTAATAGAATGTACATATTGATCTTGCAATTGCTGTTTCTGGTTGTTTTCTTGAATTCTGTGTTTCGGTAGGCTGTAAAGGATTTACAGAAATATCACTGTATGTTATGTCTTTTACAGGATTTCCATATTCTAAATCTGCTTCTCTACCTGGCTATGGAAAGAATGGCTTACATCAGGTAGGTATGCATTTAAACGCATTCTCCAGGCAATAGTGTAGCATAAATAGACAGCCTAGTAACTAGTTGAAAATCTACACAGTAATAACACTTCAAAAGTATTTTGGCTGCCAGCCCTGTCTGACAGATTCATACCCTATGCGGGTTACAGTTTGTCTGCAGGAGTAAGACAGAGGCTTCTCCTTTTAATTGAGCGTGTGAAGAGCATTAGGAATCTTGATCCTCCTCCCAAAACAAATGAAGTTCCAAAATGTACAGGCTGCACATATTAATAGATCACAGTATAGCTTGAATTAATGATAGAGAGCCCTAGGCCTATAATTAGGCAAGTAATGATCTTAGAGCAAAGGTGGAGCAGCCCACATCCATTGCATTTCTTGAACCATCTGTTCTGTTTTTTTCCAGTATGTACATGTGTGTGTGTATATATATATATAAATATATATGCACACACAGTCGTCATACTTTAAAGGCAGGGAGGGAGCAATACAGAGAGAATGGCAGGCAGCAATCTAGAAAGCAAAATGCATAACAAAATTATGATCAGATCAGACTAGGGGTTCTTTTTCTAATCCTTTACTGTATTTTTTTTCAATTCCTCAGGAAAAAGGCATCTTTGACACGGTGGTCTCTCTTTCTGTCTGGCATCCAGCATTATGGGTTCTCTGTACAAACCCAGTGTGGTTAATGGTGATAAGTTGGCAATACATAGATGCATGGGCATTTAGATTTTGAAGACTGATTTGTATCTAAATGACATGGACAGAACCTCATTCAAATTGCTTCCTTTCTCCAAAGAAAGATGTGAAAGCTGCAAAAGTACATGAGCAGGATTAAACTTCCCCAGTGATAAGGGTCAAACTGCAGGTCATTGGAATGAGCTACAAGAATTTATCTGCTCTCTACTGTCAGAGAGCAGATAAACTGATTTTCAGCAGCTACTGACATGTCCATCCCTTTGAGTTAATATTACAAGACTAATTGTGCCTGCATTGCTTCAATACCTGCCTGCTTGAATTCCTCTCTGAAGGAACCAGTGGCACTGTAACTCGATCATATGAGATTCAGGATCTAGACAAACCCGTCCCCACGTAGGAGCCAACAGGTCTTTTCTGACTTTTCAGAATAACTGTTACCAGTAACCTGAAGTGAGCGAGGGACCAACTTGTGCCCAGCCACTGCGCTGGTGAGGGACCAAAGCCATCAGGAGGCTCCACACGGATGAGGCCAAAGCAGACTGCAGCAGCAGCAGAGCTGGCTGCAGGCTGAGGCCATGCAATGTAGCATGATAGCAGCAGATGGCACCATTTGTCCCGCCTAGAGGGTCCAACCTCACAGCTGAAAACTGTAGGAAAGTTGAAAAGGTTGTTTGCTCATGGTCAAATCCTTGAGGCCAAAATTCTTCTCAGAATGCATGTCGTCTGTTTGGATTGCAGGTTCATACCAGTTTTTGTGGTTTGTTATTTTTAATCAGCCATCCCAGTGCTGCATAACAAAATAAACCAAAACCAAACAATAAGGAGCTTTGCAGGTTATTGTGAGTGAAGCTGTGCACACCTTGGATACGCTAACAGGCAAAGATGAGACTCAAGAAAAAATAAATCATATAACAGTGCTTTTCTGATACCCTGTAATGTTTGTCTTCATAGCATTTGCCAGCAAAGAAGAAAGACAGTGGGTCAGACAAAGCTATGGCACATATGCACAGTTCTCCCTGGTCTTAGTGGCATCAGCAGTGTGAAGCAGAATGAGACAAGTTTCAGTGCAGCATAAGTGATCTGGTCTGTTGTGATGACTGCAGCAAGATGTCTGCATCACAGGAAACGGCAATTTCAGTCTAACTTTAGTGCCAGGTCTTCAAACAGGGGTGCCTGGTGGCTTCCTGACACCTTTGTGCCTCATTGAGACCTGCGAGGAGTCAGAGCTCAAAAACATCCAAAGGTCTTAGGGGTGAGGTGGGTTGATATGACACTGCAATTGCCTCTCAGAGTGACATCTAAGCTTCAGCTTTCACTGGTCTGTGGGAGTTCACAGCGCAGGCAGCAAACTGCACCTGCGGTGCCTCTGAGGACCCAGGCGTCCAGCTGACACTCCATCCTCACCTACAGGCAGAGCTCCGTCTCTGCAGTCATAGATCGATGGGCCGTGCGAGCACTTGGGACTCCTGCCTTGAGCAATTGGGTCAACTCTGAATGAAACTTTATTCTCTTTCTGTCTCACAAGGTTACGTATTGTGATTGTGTGGTACCAGCTGGTTTTCTTTTTTCTCTCAACAATGTACAGAGTGATTTTGCGGTGTATTTTGCTGCTGCAGTGCTTCTTTCTTTCTCTTCCAGCCTGAAAATATGGGCCAATATGAAATGAACCAGGAGGCAAGCTGGGGGATGAAAGGTACATTGCAATATCATTTCCACTCCAATTCGTGTTTTCTTCCTTTAGGATGCTCATTAACATCTTGCCATAAAGGGTTACTATTCTGAGATTTTCCCATAGTTCACGTAATAATGACTAGATAGAGACCCAGCTCAGTATCTTGTTTATCACAGAGAATCTTCTTTTTATCTGACCGAACATAAAGGCCTGACTGCATCATAAAGTGATGCAACCATGCTGAGTCAATCCCAGTGTCCTCAATATGTGGCAACAGCCTCTGGTTCTCTTTGCATAGCAGGTGGTGGTCTTATATCAAAGAGAGGGAGAAATTTAAGATAATCACTCCTTCAAGACGTATCTAATAAAAAAGTCCATTGTGCTTCTTGTTTGTGCTACAGTGTGGTTAAAATATACAGAATTCAAAAAGCAGAATTTATTTGCATTCATTTTTTTTATTACAGTTTAAGTGGACTTTGAACTTAATATGGAACTTGGGTTGGAATTTTCAAAAGAGCTGAGCAATTTAGGAACATGCATCTACTCATGAGGAAGAGTAGGAGTTTGTTTCCAAGACAATCTTGTTTTAAAAATCTTACTCTAATGCTTCACTTCATGCCTCTGTGTTGATACAAATCTTTGTCTCTATGTTTGAATAGTTTAAAGCACAGATTTTGAAAAGCAGACTTATCTGTGATTTCATTTCAGACCATAAAAAGGTCTGTGAAAACATACTAGCTATCCTGGTTGCATTTAATCATCGATGTGAACAGATGACCTTGTGGTAGTCCTATTATATATAGTCCTATACTGATCTAACTAGAATACTCTTGTGCTAGTTTAGATCCAGGAATCATTGTCCCCACACCCCCAAATCATCTTTTCTTCGCTGTCGTTATTCCCACTGCAGTCAGCCCAAGTGCAGGATGTTGGCATCTTGGAATATTTATTGTATTAACTCAATGATTTTCATATATGTTCCCAAACTGACATGCCTGTAATAATCCATCTATTTTAACTATTTTCAGTAAAGAACAATAAGGGCAGGACTTTTGGATGACAGACTGACTTAACTCTGCACAAAAGCCTCCTGTAAAAAGAAATTCCCAATTTTGCCAGACATGCTCACTGTGTAACCCAATGGCATCAGGAGATGGATTTTCTGTAATAAGCCTTTGATTTCGAGGACTATTGCTTCGGTAATAGTGTTATAGGCATTCAGAGCATGGGGGTCAAATTCTTACTATGCATGCAGTTATCCAACAGCTGTTGGGATGAGAGAAATGTAGTAGCATAACAAATTGCTGATGTACCTAAATGTTCATTGCGGTGACTCCAAGAGATGCCTATAAATTCTAAACTGTGAACCTGTTTTCGTTCTCTTGCAGAATACAAGGTAAGAAGGGCTTTTCCAACACTGGAAGAACAATCAGATTCAGCACTTCCTAGCAAGGTTACATGTGTTCCTTTTTTAATTTTATTTTGTTAATTCTTGTCCCAGTGAAATATTTGTCAAATCAGGATGCAAGTATGTACCATTTATATTAGTAAGTTCCCCACACTGTCATTTCCGCACATCAGAATCAGATTTGGCTAGAGTTCATATACTCTTGTCTTTTTAACAGATTTATCCTTATGAAACACTTATTGTAACAAACCGAGTTCGTGTGAAATTGCCTAAGGATGTGGACAGGACCAGGCTGGAGGTAGGAATGATATTTGCTTGATGGCTTTGCAAGTCTTTGTCCTGTTTGTTTACCATCATAGATATTCCTGTGCCCAAGTAATAGCACTGAAAGAAGAGAGGAATAGCATTATATATTATGTTTTATTTCAAAACAATAGTATGTAGGCAATTTAGCTAAAAAAGAATAGCCAAAAACTTGGCAAATGTCTGACCACACGATATTTTACAAAGATACTGGTGAAACCCTTTAGTTTTGAATGATTATACAGCGTATTGAAAGTTGGAATGAGGTGGGTGGAAACTTGGGGGGTTTTATTACTGTTGAAAACACCCTGCTAGAATAACCTGAGTATTATAAAAAAGCTCCATTTATCCTGCAAATATACAGACGTATGTTTCTGGTCCATTGTCTTATTCAGCCTCCCCTTTGGCTGTGTGATCCGTGATCACTGTGCTACAGATTTGCTGTAACATCCACCTCTCTCAGAGAGTAGTAGTATAAGCTAGAGAAATGCAGATATAATTTATTGTAAAGGAAAGCTTAGTTTCCAAAGGCCAAATCCTGAAGTTGATGTTCTGGCAAAACTGATAATGTTGATTTTTTTTGACTGAGTAATGACAGGACTGAATAAAGACTCACCTAAATTCATAAACTAACATATCTTCGTGTGAATTACTATTAAGAAGAAGCGGTAGTTCAATAAAAATTACGCTGTTAACAAAATTGGACTTTTCAATAAATTTATAGTATTTTTAACTGATAATGGGACAAGAAAAGAAGAAAGAAATTTTAATCTTAAAGCAAAAAAGGAAGAAAATCTATGAAGTAGCAGAAAGTTCCTCATTAAAGATCAAGGTGGTTTTTTTAAAAACCTCATTTACCAAATTCTTATACAAGTAGTATGTTTTGAAAATGGTGTTATGTTCTTCAATACTTCAATGTGCTTGTCTCTTGATTACACAGCAAGTGGTATTGATTTGATTGTAAGGAAAAAGGAGCCTGAAACGCATGCTGTTTTAAGCCTGGGGTATAGCAAGGCATGATGGCAATAATAAAAAGCATAATGAGTGCAGAAAAAGAAGAGCTGGAGGGATACTCATCTGGACACATCCTATAAAGGATTCTTTTTTTTATATATATATAGAGAGAGACACACATATATATGTGTGTGTGTGCATTAAAGAACAGAGTCTTTTTTAAAACACATCAGGCTGGTCTAAATTGCAAATGCAGCTCCAAATTGCTTTTTTTTAAGACAACACAGAGTTTGCTTTGGATGGATCATGCCTGTCCTGGCTGCCATTATCCGTAACTCGCACACTGTCCTCAGCTGGGATTGCTGTTTGTTTAACGTTGGGGTTGCTCAGTCTGCCTCGCACCAGGTGCAGCCCAGCGCCCGACGGCCGAAGGAGCCCAGCCGCTTCAAAGATCTCACAGAGGTTTGCAAAAAAAAAGAACAATGAACGAGATCTGTGCTTCAAACCTGCACCAGGAAAGCGATAAGGGGACCGGGCTGATCCTGCTGATTGCTGCACTGTGTTAAACACGTGTGTCTGCAGGAAGGACTCCTTTGGAGACCATCTTATATTTATTAGGGATTGGTAGTTTTTTAAACAATTAAATTAGCAGCGTTTTAATAGGATTGTAACAACTGGAAAACCAGAGGCAGCAGCTCTTCTAGACATTCAAACCATATGCAGAGTGGAGTGACAGGCACAAGCCGTCACCTTCCCCGCCAGCCTCTTCCTCTCCTCCCCATCCCTTCCTTCTGCATTACAGAATTGCTGGAAATAAGTAGCTTTGCATAGAAAAGCAGTTTATCATTATTTCCTCTTGTGGCAGAAGAAGAAGAAGAGTGTAACTTAGTTGCTGACTTGTGCATTTCAGCAGATTTCAGGCTTGGGCAAGACCCAGGACTCAGGGAGCCCAAGAGCACACGGCTTTATAGGTTTGCACAGGAACAGACCAGGATTAGACACACACACACTGGGAATACTGGCAGCAGGTATTAAGGTTAGAGTTCACCTTTTCTAGAGCTCCATTTCACATTCGCTACAGGGTGTGTATGGTTCGATGCTCACAGATCTCTAGGAGGCAAGTGCTCTCTGAGCAGAATGGGTTGCCAGCTGATGGTCTGTTTGCATCCTGCACAGCCAATGTCACTCGGGAAAGGGCTAGATTGTGCCTACAGAAATGGTGAAGGTGATAGCACTGCTAAGCCCATGTATTATCCAAACTGCAGAGTGATTTATTTAGGAAAATCTTTTAAGAAAAAAATCCATGTTCTAATATTCCAGTTTTATTTTGATCAGTTTTGTGGGCTGAAGCCTCACCTTGCTCTCGCTGCTGCAAATCAGAACGAGCTCCTGGCTGTGATGGCTGTGGACACAGGGTGCAGGTGGTGTCAGTGAAAGGAGACCTAGAACCATTGTGTTTTACATCAACTATCAAACCTGAAAGCGGTCTTACCGTGTCTAGTGTGATTAGAGTATCTCACACGTGATGTTTCTGATGAGCAATAAGGTGACTAAATCTGCATGAGCTACATTTATTTAACAGCCGTCTTGCAAGTTGACTTGAAATGGGCTCTTGTTTGTGAAACAGAGTTTGTTGTGAACTTTGAATGATCCAGCATGGATGTCATGGAAAAGGTGCTGTTGTTTGTCTCTGATTCCCTCTTCCAAGGGAAGTCTCCTATATTGAGTGTTTCCATCATGAAAAATGAACTCAAGTAAATGGTATTAGCTCCTTGGGTCAAATAAGGGAGGCTGCAATGAAGGCCTCGGCTAATGGTCCGGGACTGCAGGAGGGTGGGGTTTCGATGGGTGGTAGTGTTTTCCTAGCTTTGCTCCCATTGTGAGTATTTTTTAGATTATGCTGTTGTGTAAGAATTTTATTTTAAGGATTATAAAAAATATTTTCTTGTAAAAATGCGTATTTTTCTAAGCCCAAGAGGTATCTAGAGATTAGGAAGGCTCAAATGGTAATAAATGCATTCAAATAATAGGAATTCTTTCTTCAAAAGCACATACATCTAAGTGTAGAAACACTCGACATGTTTTTGTTTGCTTGTTCTAATGCAGCAGTGAGGCAGAAGTAGCCCGGTTCCTTGTGCTCCTCGAGGAGATGTTTATGCCAACAGTGAACTAATACATGCAGCATTGAGAACTAGTTATAATAAACACCTGCTGATTTTTAAATACATTACTGGCACTCTGAGTTTTGAATGAATAGCCTGGATTTTCCTTTAGTATAAGCTGATTAGAAATGCCAGGAATTTACACTAGATAAGGATTTGGCCCAGGAATTTTTTTAGAAGTTTCTCACTACCACAGTGCTGTTTATTCTAACATTAGATGAACGGAGCAGCACTCCCGTGAGCTATTCTGGTGGGAAATGGTGAAGAGCAAGTTAATTCAGGTGATGTTACAGAACAACAAAGCAGTAGGACAGGAGTGGATTATACATTCTGGGTGAAGAGGAATTGCACCCTCACCACGTCTGCAGATGACACAGACTGGGGAGGACAGCAGTTGATGCTCTGGTGAGCAGAGCCTCTGTTCAGAGGGACCTGGCCAGGCTAGAGGAACGGGTCGACAGGGACTTCATGAAGTTCAGCGAAGGTAACTCCAGCAAAACTCAGCTGGACAAGTCCTTGAGGGACATGGTCTAATTTTAAAGTTGGCCCTACTTTGAAGACCTCCATAAGTTCATGATGTGCTTAGGTTGGTATATTCTGTGAAGACAAAACCTTAACATAATATAATTACAAAATAGGATTATTTGGTACTCTTGCTGCAATAGCATTTGAAAAAATACATAATTTGGTCTGACTTAGAATATTTTATCAAAAGGATCATTTTATTATGCAGGGACTTAAATATAAGTGTCCTGGAGCAAACTTCCCTATTTCGGACAACTTAAGGCATGAGTTTCCAGGGACCAAGGCATCACCTGTGGATGGTACACATTACCTCCTGGTTTCCCAGTGGTGTTCCACATGGTCCGGGGTAATTTGCAAAGGAAGTTGGGCTTATGGACACTTTTGAAAATCTTGATACCTCTTTTAAGTATTCAAAATTTAGGCCTTGGGCTCCTAAAAGCATACACTTGATACTTTTATCTTAGATTGGATATTATTTGCCTGTTTTTCAGTCACAGTAATGTGATTCAGTGCTTGCACATCCAAATTGATGGTTCATGCCCAGCTGAACAGATTTATTTATTTTATTTTCTCCTGAAGTTGCTTTTATCACAGAGTATAAGATTTCTTTTGTGGTCACAGGCTGGTAGTTTTGAAAGCCAACATAGTTACAGTATGCCATTTGGAAAACATCTTTTAGTGTGTTCATTTGATTTTCTTATCTTAATGTATCTTAGTTTCTTTAGCCTTTTCTTTTCAACGTCAGAGCATTAAAAGCATTATTCATTCATGCCTGTGAAATACAGTAGAAAGTAAATTATTCCACTTTTGTTTGAACCCCTCTTCATTATGTGTTTAAGAAGGATACATTGAAACAATCGCTAAGGAAAAAAAATATTCTGGAATGTAAAGTAGCAAACCTCATCTGCCACCTTGTTCCCTTGTAAACAGAAATGAGAGATTTAAACATGGGTGCGGTCTTGTTTGAACAGAGCACTCACATTAATTCCAACATGCTTTTCCTCCTGAAACTGCTTGTCTGGATTTGTTTTAGGGATGACATTTTTTCCACTAGTTTTTATTCAACAATCACCCTCGGTTCTAGCCATTTGGGCTGCAACCATTTTAGGACTGGTTTCCAGTAATTGAGCCTGAATTTATAACAGCCCCAGCTCCTAGATGTCATTCATACAAGTAATGTTGTGTGTCCCACCTCCTCTGGAGCTCAGATGGAGAAATCAGTGCAAAACTAGAATGCTGTGTGTTTTAACATAGAGAAGTGCAGTTTGTAGTTTGGGGCGGCATTCGAGGTTACAGGCTCGCTTCATGGTGAAGCTCAAAACCTGGAGTGAAAACGTGCAGTTCATTGACTTCA